AAAAAAACCTAGAGAGAATTCTTGGCTTTGTTTGCTTCTTTCCTCTCACTTATTACACCTACTCTAGGCAGACAAAAACATGTGCCACTCCTCAGCACAGCATTCTACCTATATTTTGCCTAGTCCCTGGCTTATCCTTTCCTAGACTTTCATTTACAAGCACACATTTTCATGTAGTGAAGGAGAAAGCATCTCTTTTACTGCGATCAAAATTGATTGTTCATTATAAACATCTGGTCTTGACTGAAACAGACTGAAGGGCTGTATACTAACTTGACAGAGCCATTTTCATAAAAAAAACCCTTGTTACAAAAGCAGCACAAAAATTTAGGAGAACTGAAAACATTTTTTACAAAACATTTTGGCCATTTGTACTTTAGTCCTGGTTTCATTTCCTGGCTCTGATCAACTTCAAAGATGCTGCAATAGACTTCCCTTCACTGGGGGAAAGTCTGCAACAAAACAAACTATTGATCTTTTTTATCACTATTGCATAAAAGTGTTTATTTTCCATCCTAAAGTTTGGTAACTTGATGGTAGGGCAAACAAAAACTAGATTGAGAAGACCAGTTGTTCGTTCCCTTTATTTCTTCACAGGAAGTAAGGTAACTCTGCAAAAAATGAAAATAAAAGTGTGAAAGAGAGGGGGAGGAGGCCCAGAATTAAAATACCTCGATACTTGCTCCTTCCTGTTCCTTGGTCCTCAGCAGGGCAGAGCTGCTGAACCTCCCCCAACTGAGCTGAGGCTAAACRAAACCTTTTCCTCTGCCACAACTGCACAATTTCGTTTTCACCTCTTCCTCTCCTCCTTCCCAGATCTCTTAGACATTACATCCTGGYGCAAAATCTCCTGCCAAGAGGATGTCAGAACACTTCACTCCATGTCTCCTCCCTCCCGGGGCTCACTGCTAACTCAGCCATCTGACCAKCCACAAATACTCCTGCTTCACTATAAATCTCCCACAGAACAAAAGCCTCCTCCTGCCTCGAAACCTTATTTTGTGACAAAAATGTAGAAGTAATCTAACCATCAGCTGGGTTCCTCTGCCTCCTCAACCCATCCCCACATACGTTTTGTCTTAGGTGTGATCCARCTTAAGGTTTACATGCACTGTGATGAGAAGACCCAGCAGGGTCTGCTGGAGAGACCCCTGACACCTTTCCAGTGGAGCTGAAAGTCACCTCCAGWAAAAAMATCCCCATTTTTGAGCACCACGTCSCATGAGGCTGCTGTCCCARCSCCATCTCCATTRCCAGCTCCCTGTCACAGCATTCAGCCCCTGCCGCAGCGAGGCTCCTTGAGCTCATTCAAACGGCGCGCTTCCTGCGCGGGACGGAAAGTGCCAAAACTTGTTTCCAGGCCAAAACGCTGTGAGTAGAGCAACTCAACACATCACTTTTCTGCGACAGGATAAAAAAATGCCCCTGCCCAGCCACAGGGCTGAATACAGTCTCAGATACCAAGGTAAACAACCCCAGAACAGCCCTCTGCGGGCAAGTCCCCCCGCCTGCTGCCAAGAAACACATTTTTGTTATGCAATCTGCAGCTGAGCACTCGGTGGTCCCTCCAGCTACATCCCCAAAGCTCGGTGTGAAGCTCCTGTGTGGCTCAGACCACCACTGAGCCACCCCCCGACCCCACCAGACAGGACCCTGCGTAACAGCACCTGTGCAGGTTGAGATGAAAACCCTTCCTCAGCACCAGGCTGAAGATTTTAATCTGTCCCTGCTCTGCTTCTGTGACTGCAGGTCTAAAATCATGAGGAAAATCCAYATACCTGTCCTGCTCCTGTTGTTTCTTAAGTGAACCGTGGAGTTTCCAGCCTTCCCATCAACTCTGGGTTTCCCTCTCCCAAARGATGAGCTAACTTATCTGCTGTTAAATTGTGAAATGACACAGCGGGGAAAGGAAATACTCCATTTGTCCCTGACCTCCTGCTATCCTGGGGTAGCAAATCAATTTAATCCAGAAGGACATTTAATATTCTCATTGGGAAATCCTTGTATGTAAGTGGTTCCTTCTCAATGTCAGTTGCCAGTGATAAGCTTTGACAGTGGTCTGGACTCCTAACAGACCCAAGATTTAGGGAAGAATGTGCCCACTGCCTGTTTTCCTGCCATCTTCAGGATGCACCAATCCTTTCACTGCTGATGGGAACCAGCACCTGGGGGCAGAAGGAAATCCTGGCAACTTTGGGAAACCACCACCCTCCCCATCCCCAACCCCAAGCTACTTCTCTCTTCCCCAGTTCTGTGCCCTTCTCCATGACTGCAGCCTATGCAGGCACGGCTCCTCCGCAGGCTGGATGGCTGCCTTTCCTCCCACACGTGGTCGGGACGCATCCTTGTAAGACACACAGAACCAGGAGCACTGTCAAGAAAAGTTAAGTGCCTCACTGCTGGCAACGAAGGGCACCTCAAAACACGCTGTTCTTCCCAGCACTGCCCTCCCCAAAGCTGCAAACTACATTYGCTTTAAAATTAGAGAGGTAGGATTTAAGAAAAAAGGTCTCGCAGGAGGAAGAGCTTCCAATCCCTGTGATAAATAAAAGTTAAATTAAAAAACCCTGCTCTGGGCTACTGACAGAGCACAACCAAACAGATGTACAGGCAAATGCAATCCYGCAGGTCTGAACCCTGCCGTGACACTTTGCAATGAGCCCTGCTCGTGCCGCCGGACGGACTGCCACCTTACCAAAGTAATCGGCCTTTGGCCGAGCATCCATCTCCTGCTCCAGTCTCTGGGTCAGCGCCTCCAGCTTCAGCTCGGCCGCCGAYGGCCCTTGCTCCGGCTGCGGAAGGAGGGTCTGGCAGGGCAGCTTCACCTTTGCTGTGCTGGAGCCATCCAGGTGCCCGGAGTCTGACTGCGGCCCGCTCACGCCCTCCGGGAAAAGCGTCTGTGGCACATCGGGAGCCGCCATGCCCCGCGARGCCAGGCGAGAGGAGCCCGGCTCAGGGGTCACACCGCTGCTGGCGGGCCGGTGGCTCTGACCGTGGGCCACCAAGTGCCCGGCTGGGCTGGGGTAGGCAGCAGCGTGCTGATATTCCACACTGGGAGCAGCGGGTGTGGAGCCCGGCGGGAAGGGCAGCGAGACGCCCTGGTACCACAGCTGGCTGCCATCTCCTGCGGCTTTGGGATCGCAGGGCTCAGCGGAGCCTGAAAAGCCCCGGGCGGGCTGCGCTGAGGGCGCCGGGAAGGATGAGGATCTCTGCTGCGGCGGGGGCTCCTCCGGCCCCAGCGAGGGTGCCGGGGGGGTCCGGGCGTTGGAGAAGGAGGAGGATCTCTGTCCGGCTGGCATCGGGTCACGGCCCCCGCCACCTCGCCTGCTCTCGCCGCCGTTCTCCTGCCCGCCGCGGCAGGGCTGGGGGTCGCCGTGGCTCCCAGCCTGTTGCTCCCCACGCCCCGCACCAGGCTGCGAGCCCCCCACTCTGGGGATCCTGTCGGGCTCCGCTTCCCAGCCCCGGCGCCCGGCCTGGCTCCCCGGGGCCTCGGCACGTGCGCCGCTCTCTCCGAAGCCCCGCTCCCCTCCATCGCAGGGCCTCGCCCGCGGCCCCTCGCCGGCGGGGGGCGGCTTGGAACCCCGCGCCACCGGCGGGCTGGGACGGGGGGGGTGGAAGGCGGCAGCCCCTCCGTTCATCGCGGCCATCAGCATCTCCTCCTGCTGCTGCTGCTGCTGCTGCTGCTGGAGGTGGATCTTGGCCATCTTGGTGGCAAACACCCGCCTGGTCTCCTCGAACTCGGGGTTGTTGCCGGCAGCTTTGTCCACCCGAAAGAGACCGTCCTTGGAGGCCTCGTACATGTTGAGGTCCTCGATGAACTTGCTGGCTTCCAGACCCAGATCGTCGTACTTGTCCATCCTGCCCGGCTCAGCGGGAAGACCCCCGCCTTCTTCTTCTTCTTCTTCCTCCTCCTCTCCTCTTTCCCGCCGGGATCAAGGCAGCGCCGGCAGCGGCACCCGCTCCGTCCCGCCGCGCTCCCGCCGCGCCCGTCCCCACTGTGGGCGTGGCTGTGGGCGGGGTCAATGGGCGTGGTCATATGTCCCGCCCCCGCCCCGCCTCACGGCCCCGCCCCAAGCCACGCCCACCCCCGCGCGCCGCTCGTCCCCGCTCTGTGCGCGATCCCGCGGCGTCGCTTTCGGCTCCAGGGATGTCCCGCAGTGTCCGATCAGGATTGGGAAGGGTTCGGGTCAGGAGGTAGAGCTGGAGAGGGGACTTGGGAAGGGGGGCGCACGGTGGTTTAAGTCACCCGCGTGATGCAAGCAGGGTGTTCTTGCCTCGTCTCCCCTCTGGATAATATTCCTCTTTCTCACCCTGTAGCCCGAAAAACCCTCCTGAAGAAGCCTTGCGAAAAATCACAGACGCCCGTCGGGAAAAGAAACTAGTTCCACTCTTCCATGAAAAACTRCAAGGAGAATCTCATTCGGTAACTRTTGGAGCAATTARTCTGTACAGTAGGAAATTGTATGACTTTTCTTAGTGTAGATAGCCGTTCTGTGCTGGATAGTCATGCCTAAGTGAACATGACTAAAGGATCCTGGATCATTGCAGGAGGACAACTCCTGGCCTGGAGAATAAAGGATACCCCTGGATGCCCAATATAACATCAGCATCCCAGCCTCCCCAACACCTTTGGGAACCCTCCACCCCATTATCTACCATCATAGACACATAACTGCAGCAAGACCAACTCCAGAGGCATTTAGATCAAGAAAGAAGCAGATGGATCACGACATCATAAAAACATTGGAATTCAATGACATATATGTGATACATAGGGATTTGACAAATCATGCTGTTCCCAAATACTTGAAAGGTATAGGAACKGTATGTAAAACTGCATTTGAGGTGCCCCARTGTAGTTGGGACACCTCTTGCCCACGATTAAAGATTTACCCATGTGAATGTACACTTCACATCCCAGCCTTCCTCCTCTGTCAGCCTGGGCCAGTTGCAAAATTTCCATGGCAAAACACAGCTGGGGGTGTCCAGAGGTTGGGGAGCTGCAGCRGGAACTCTGCTGGGCTCCTGGGAGAGGCTGCTTTGTAGGAAGCTGTGGCACCTCTGAGCAAACTGGTGCAGTGATCMTACGGGCCCAGGCACGTGTCTTGCACTCCCAAAACTTGTTATTGTAATTCTCCCCCAGGCTCCAGGAGGTAGGGCCAAATGTTAAGGAATGTGGAAGTTCACTGCCTTTAATAATGGTGAATTGGACGGTGACCAAAACATGTCAGAAATTAAAAAAAAACCCTGCCCTCTTTGACCCATTCCCTTACAACAGCAGTCCTGAGCAACTGAGGCCAGACCTAAAATATCCTGCCTCTTCCTGTGAGATTTGGCCCAATGTGCTTAAAAATCATGGCACTGTGAGTCCCTGGAAAGGGCATCTTCATTCAAGGCAACCTCAGAACTGCTGTGGCCTCTCCAAAGAGGCTCTGAGCAGGACTGAGAGGCCAGAGGCTCATCCTTGCAGCAGCAGCCCTAGGCTGGAGCTTGAGCTGATAAACTGATGAACTTTGGACTCACAAAAGTTAGCCCAGCCGTAGCACAGCTTTAGATAAGGGGGTTTATGGTTTCYAGAAAGACAGGTAGATGGGAATCCCAGCACAGGGCAAAGAACAGTGGAATTCCCCCAGTCCTCAGTACTAGAGGAAGGGGGACCCCAGCACATACTGCTACTAACCATGGCCTGCCACTTTTCACAGTATCAGGAAAACATCCCAGCTATCAAGCAATCCCATCTATCAAACCTTTCCAAGACTTTCACTGCTGTGGGGATGAGGGAAGGAGTGGTATCACAGCTCCCTCAGGCTGATCCCCGCAAGCCTTGTTTCACTTTGGGGTGCCTGGGGGCTAAACCACACTTTGCACAAGCCTCAGCAGTTCAGGAGGAGGGTTTAGCCTCCATCTGGATGTACATCTTCAAAGTACAACAAACCCCTGGCTAGAGTGGAAAGGGTTTGCCTGCCATTTTTGTGGCTGGGAGAGGCCACAGTGGCCCCCATCAGCTTCTCCATGCCAGGCAGGTGTAGGCTCAGGCCACCAGTTACCAAGAGAGAGGGTGAATACCGCTTCGGTGGGACTTGACCAAAATTGTCAAATTTGAGGTAAAACTCATCTGGGCTGGCGAAAGCCAAAACAGTTTCAGTGTCTAAAGATCATCCTTGGAAAGGGCTTGTGGAAGTCTGTTTTTGGCAASATCCTGGGCTGACAAGGAGAACCACAGCAAGTGACTGAGGCACGGGATGCCTCCTCCTTATCGCTGGCTTCAGGATGCTTTTGGAGTCCAGCTTAGATGAGATGCTTAATTTTCAGTATGACCACTTTTATCTAAAATGGGCAAGCTGCAATGCTAAAACAATAAGCAGCAACAAAGTTGGTACTGAACCATGGATTGCTTGCATCCATATTTCTGTGGAGAATGACAGCAAGGAAACAGAGCAGCAGGTAGATAAGGATGGGAGCGTGAGCCCCAGCACTGCTTTACTCGTTGGAGGAACATGGGACGTGGACAAAGAGCATTTGGAAAGGAAATTACACATCGTGCACCTTCTTGCCTCCTTCTCCCCAAAGGATGTAAAGTTAATCAGAGGAAGCCATGCTCCCATCCAGCATATAAGAGACTCGGCTTGTGTCTCTTGGGGTTTTCTTCTTCAAACACACTGAGATGAGGCTTTTCCATCCGTCTAAGAAACAAACCCTTTGGCAGAATAGAAGTATTTGGGAACAGATGTCTCTATTTTCAGCTTTCAACACACAAACCACGGAAGAATCTAACTTCCCTCAGATCATGTMCTTTTTTTCCCCAGCTTTCTTTTTTAAGGATCCTGCATACATTTTCTGCCAGTAGTTTTTATCTAACATTTGTAAGTTCTTTTACAGTCTAACCTGCAGGAGCTCACCACTTTGGGGCGGGAAGGAGTGGGGGGAAGCAGTCTCCTTGCCAAATGGCTGCTCTGGATGCTGCTGACCTTCACCAGCTATGTAAAGTACATTTCCTTCCTATGCCAAAGGATCAAATCAGCTGTCTGCAGAACAATGCTTACGCGGACGACGTGGAAAAGGCTGCTGAAGCCCTTCAGATAGGGAACCCCTTGCACTGGGCTTGGCCTCCATCCAGGCTCCGCATGCATAAGCAGACACTTTTATGGCCAAGCGCCTTCRAGGGGGGATCACAGCCAAGTGATTCAAAGGCATTTCGGAGTTGAATTTGCAACGCTTTCAGTGAACACTAGGCAGCAAAATACCTTTGAAGTTTCACGCTCGGGTTTATTCTTTCTGCGGAATTTGGGCTCGGGGTATTTCTGAGTGAGCAGATGATTAATTTGAACTTTCTGCTAGAGTGGAGATGTAATACTACACTGACTTGCAGACCCTTCTGCTGTGATTAGATATGGTCCTGCATGCTTATAGTTGCTGTGACTTTTACAGCCCATGCCTATTAAGAAATTAAGGGGTCTGCGATTGCTATAGTAGCACAGGACCAAAATCTACGTGCCAATTTGAATTAACTTATTCTAAACCCTACCCCTTGAAGAAAAAAACTCCACAAAACATTGCTCATTTACTCTGTTTTTGTTCCTGTGGGCAAGGCTTACACACTGCATTTACTCATGCAAAATAATGCTGACAGCTTGCAACTCAGCCCTGCTCCACGTGGCAATCTCAGCTGCCTGTGGGGCGGAGGGAGGCAATGATCTGGGRAGAAGCAGCCCCCGGTGGTGTTCCCAGGTTTTGGCTCCACCTCAGTGGGGGTGCTGGACACATTACCCAGCCTTGTGCTGGGGCACAATGACCCTTCAGGGTTGGCAGGTTGGGGCAAAGCTCTGCCTGCCTGAATACATAGAATAAATAGAATAAATAGCAAAGTCAAGAATGAGAGCAGGAAGGGGATCATCTGTCTTTATTTTTTGCTGCCACGTTGGTCTCTGGGCTCACATTGCAGAGAGAAGGATGGAAATGGGAAGAAATCCTCCACCACTATTTCCTGCCCCCCCCGATCATTTTTCTATCTGGGAGAAAACGCCCTCATATTTTAAAGCATGACAACAGCCCAAGGCTGTATAGTTTATGGAAAAACATGCTTAGGAGGAGTCTGGATGCCAATTCATAGTCAGATCTCTCTCCAAAAGCAACTATKGCATCCTATTTGCAACCAAACTAGTGTGAGGAACCAGTGGCTGGCAGCACACAAGTTTGTTTGTGGACATGTTCAGGGCTGATCCCTGGTACCTGTGTCTCCCCAGGGCTGCAGCTATCCCAGGTTGTTTCCCGCAGGATTACACACACCACTCTGCAGTGCCTGAGATACGTGCTCTGGTGTGTTTTAGCAAGAAAGTAATAAAGGGCTTCAGTGCTAGATTATAAACATAGTGAGGAATTTATAAGGCAGAAGTATTTCCAGGATAGAGCCTGGCTTGGTTCTTGCAGGAGCAAATGCGTTTCTCAGCTTCTTGCAAGGCAGTGCCACAGCATCTCTGAWCTATCGACTGAATAGCAGGGGGAAATCATGGACTTTTCCTTCCAGCTTTCTAATGGAGGTTTTCATTAAATGTGGCATCTGCACCAGCCAGGTGCTTTATACTAGGAGGATGATGCCCAGGGCTGTAGGGCAAATAGGAGGGTGGAGGAGGAGGGAGGGAGGGATGGAGAAAGGTGACTGCAGAGGTGAGCCCAGGGGCTGCTGTGGGTGGGAGGGCTGGGCTCAAGCCAGGGGCCAGGCTGCTGGATGAGATGCTGTGGAGGTGAAACCTCAGCCTCTGCCATCCAAAAGGTTTTCAGGAAGGCGGCAGGGCAGGGTTGGGAGATGTTGTTCCTCCTCACGACAGCCCCAGGGGCCCCTGCATTCCTTGAGGAGGCCAGCCCTCCCTGCTGCCTGCTCTGCCAGCCCTGCCTGCAGCCTGCCTTGCCTGCTGCCTGCACATGGAACCCACGAGCTGCAGGGGCAGCCTGGGCACTGGGGGCAGCCCAGGTGCCCACCATGCAGCCTTGGTGCATCCCCTGCCCTTGGGATCAGGGCAGAAAYGGATCCAGACTTCATGTTTTGCTCCTGCTGTGTTACAAATGTCTACAACAGGGAATTATCTCTGCAGGGAATTATGCTAAGAGTATTAATTAACACTAATTGAATTAACACTAATGGCAGAGAAAGGCCAGGGCAGATGGGAACAGCTTTCCCCACTGCCTTTCAGCAGAGATACAGATGCTTCACAGAAGGGGTTTTAAGGTCATGCTCCTTCTTAAATAGTTGCACCTGCACTACCAGTTCAATGGGGAAGCTGTGGGCCCTGCCTATAGGTGGGTAAACTGAGGCAGGGAGAGTTACCTGGCAGGCCACACCTTKGGAAGGTTAGAGGAGCCATGGGGAATCACCAAGATGCCAAATAGGAACCCAGGAAGCAGCAGAGCGAGAAGATGCAGATCCCTGAGCTGCAGCAGCTCAGTCTCWGTGAGGAAGCCAGAGCTGGGTGCCAAGCACTCAGCTGCTGCTCTGGGGCACACAAGAACCTTTACCTTTCTCTCTTCAGTTTCTCCAGGTGCCATCAACAATGTTGGAGTTTCTGGACTTCCTTCGCTGTCATCCCATGGGTCCGAACAYGTGCCTTCACTGGCTGCAGAGCTGCACCAGACTAATGCAGACAGCTCTGCTGGTTTCCCTACCCTTGCTCAAAACAACGTGGAAYAGTTTGTTTTCTCCATTTTCTACTGAAAAGAGCCTTTTATCAGAACAAGAGCTYGCCTGGAGAATTTTCCAGCTCTGTTTCCCTCCTCTTTATCAGTGCATTAACACAAACAGCACCGTGACCTTTTAAACCAACATACGTGGCCTCCAGTAATGCTGGGCTGGAAGCACTCCACAGGTCAGACGACATCCTGCCATCAGTCATTGGCCTCAYGTGGCTTGGTGGACTTCGAGTGGATTTGCCAGATGCAGTCAGTGCATCCACACTGTTCTTCCGTGCATGTCCTAGGAGAAGCTCTCTGACTAACAGATGTTTTTAAATGCTCTTTCACATGGGAAAATTGGGAATTATATGTTTTTATTGCACCCTTGTTATTTCATCCAGCCACGCGGCTCTCCAGGGATAGAGACGTACTTAAGAAAAATATTCACTTCTAAAAGCTTCCACAGATTTTTTCACAATACTTTCTTGTCTTAGCCAGCCCAGCAACACRCATTTGTAGTTCTGTTTTGTGGCAATTAGCAAGATTTGCTAATTACACTGTTATGTGCTTAAAGACAATTGATTTCCCTTTGTAGCAGAAAACAATTTCCTGTTACGCCAATTCTCTTAATCTTCATCAGAAACAAACCCAGGCTGCCATTGCCAGTAATGTGTCRCATTCCTGTATTAAATCACTCTCTTTTCTGCCCCAGCTATGTGTCTTGTGTTTATTATTCCTGATCAGTGGATTGGATCACCTACAGCTGTTATGACTTGCATGTATTTTGCTTCATGTATTGCTGGCACCAAGCAGAATTRTTGAAAAGCAACTCCCTTTGCTCAGCAGCTCGTGCGTCTCCTTTGGCAGCGGGACATGGGTGTAGGGAAAACCCTGGACCTTTTAYGCTTGGTTTTGGCACGTGTAAAAARCTACTGCCAGATAAGGAAGTTCAGAGCCTTKTAAGTGAGTGTGGGCCATCCCCTTGCAGCCAGCCCAGAGCAAGCACAAAGCACACATTTCTGCTCTCGTAAATGCATAGGTTCTGTTTAGCGTTATATTGAAGAAGACCAGGCCCCTCAAATAAAAGAGTTTCTTATGCCCAGGCTGAGCACCACTAGTGCAAGCAGAGTGTGAAYATTCAACTCACTGCACTTAAGCCTGTCCCATTGACACATTCCTTTGCTTAGTGAGCAACTTGGCAGCTCAGAAGAGAGCAGGTTGGTGTGGCCCAGGCAGATGAGCATGCAAGTAAATGTCCTGAATGTTAAATATTGGAGGGTGTTTTTTGCAAGATTCCTGGGACCAAAATCACAGATTTGGGCCATRTTCACCTGACAACAAATTCAAGTATCCATTTGACTTTGGCTGAACCTCCATTGTCTCATGGCCAATGCAAAGACAGTCTGGAAGGTGGGACAAAAGCCACAGGGACTTCTCAACATTGCTACATCTAGGCAAAAATACTCCCATTCAGAGGCATTAACAACTTGCAAACCCAAGAAAACTGGCTCAACCTCTCCGAATACACAGAACATGAGAGCTAACTTTGTATGGAAGATGGTGTTGGATGGCAACTCCCCATGGAAGGAGTTAAAACCAGGCTTAAAACCAGACCTGAACTTTGCCAACCCAAGGCTTACCTGAGTGAGAGAAGTGCCATGAGTCACAAAGGTTGTGTGTGACTCAGGGCCTCCTGGGACAGACAGGGTTAGTGATACCGGAAAGTCACATAATTYGAGAAAGGGAAAAAAATGCCCACCTCTCCTCCACATGTCAGGCAAGATCTCTTTTATCATCTGGGCTGCAGATGAGAGCTCTGATYTTTTCCCCTCATGCACAAAGATAATGCTTCAGTTCATTTCTCCTCCTGCTAGGGCTGGGACACGATTAAAACACCCTCTATCTACTGTGATCAGCTTCATCCTTCTTGGGACACCATTTCAATGGAAAAAAAATCCAAACTAACCATGGTGTAGTTCCAGCAACATTTTTTAAGGTCAAAAGCAGATATTACCTTGACTGAGAGTAGGTATATTCACCATGCATGTTCTGTGGTGATAGACCTGGTTTAACATTGAACACTTGCTCAGCCCAGTCCTTTGATACAAAATCAGCTCAGATCATAGGAAAGGACTGAGAAAACMTGGAAGCAGAAAAAGCATCCAGCAGAGCCAGGCTATGTACTCTTCCAAATGAGTAAATATACATTAATATAGCCAATCCTGTCTCTGTAAACTGTACTAAGTATTGCTAAACTACAAAAATCCAACCAACCAACCAACCAACCAACCAGCCACAATTCTTTCTTCATTTACAGCAAGCTTTTAGAAAAATCTCACCTACTGCAAACCTCCCTAGGAAGGAACAACCAGCAAAACACTGGTTAACTTTCATTCTGGTGCATGTTGATTGTGAGCTGTTAAGAGAATAGGAAGAGCTTTCTGTGAGGCTTTACACAGAAGAAGGAGAGACAAAGAGCAGAGACAAAGAGGAGATACTGTACAACCTGCCTTATCTGAGGAAATTCTCCCTCCAGAAGAAACAAGCAGGCTTTATAAAGTCAGATCAGAAAATGTCATAATTAACCTGATGTCAGTTCTGGGGCATAACTTCAGTCTGGTAAGAGAGCACACAGATTTTACTTTGCACACAGATTTTACTTTGCACCAAATCTCCTTGTTTGGGTTCTGATGAAAGGCATGGAAACATAAATGCTTGTCCAGCAATGCTCCTGTACAGTGTTTTTTGCAAAGCATAGGCAGGACAAGCTAGCTAGAGAAGTATCTTAGTGACCTAAGCTGTAAGAGTGTCCTTTAATGTGATATTAAAAGCCCTTCTGCCTTGCTGTGAAACAGCACAGGGTGTGTCCATGACACCTCAGTCATCACCCACACCAAATAACACATTTTTCTACACAGTGATGTCTTCCAGCACATTTCAGTGTCCCCATCACCCCAGCATCTGAGTTCTCACAAAATCAATGGCACYGGAAAAGTACTTAGTGACCTTTCAGAACTTTGCCAGTTTGTATTTTCCTAGAATCAATGTTTGATTTTTTTTTTTTTTAATTTAATCACTAGAACAATTTTGGGGTAGAAAGTGTGCCAATAATTATTTTTTAAATTGGACATTACTTAAAATAGAAATTCAATCAGCAACGACTGATTTTCCATCCCCTTGAGGGAYAGGATGCTGAAAATGCCCCTTACGTGTCATGGATCCGTTTCTTGGAGCAGTTTGTCCTGGATCTATCCCACTGGGTTTAGCAAACCTCCCCCATCATCTCTGGATCATCATTTCATGGAATAAGGACAGTGACAACACATCCTTTTTAACATTTGTGAACGCAGTGCAATTGGGCTGATCACCCACCAGCACTCTCCCTTCTCCCTTCTCAAGTGTCCCCCTCCCAGATTTAAAACTCCCAGCACTATTTACCCACTGAGCTCTCCAAGGGGACACAATCTATCTAYACCACCTTCAGCATAAAGATGCCTCTACTGTGACACAAGTGCCAAATAAAAGAGAGTTCTGTGATGAGTTATTTTACAAAGGCTTAGCAAGAGGCTACAGCCTGTATTTCATTATCAGTTCCATCCAGGCACAGACTGAATCTGTGAGTCACAATTACTGTAAGACAAATGGTAATCACGCTTCAGAGCAGGTCAGCCTTGTACCAAATGTCAGTGGCTGCCAAGACAACAGCATAGCTCTGCAGCTGGCACCTCTGCCATCCTTCAAACATACACTTACCAGGGGATTAGGCTCTGTCACAGTGTCTGCATCATCTCTCTCACTCACTCTTTCACCACCTTTTTTTGTATCCTCTAGACCACACTGAATTACAACTTGCTGTAAACACACTGACGGGACTTCTGACCTTACACTTTTTGTGAGTCTGCTGTTCACTACCTYTCCTTTTATAGCCTGTAGAAACCATTCCTTATTTTGATTTTTGCCTGAATCACCAAGTGACATCTACAATTCACTTCCTCAGGCAAGAGCAAATACCCTCAAGTGCTAACAGCAATAAACACTGTGGGCTGCTGCCTGGCCCTGAAGTGACTGCAGCTTTTGTTTAAAGGCACCACAGGGTAGCTGTGCTTACAACATCTTTCTTCATCCTTGTAAATTTTTAAAGTTTTTATTTACACCAAAGATGTCACCTTTCTCCCAAATAAAAACTCTGTTAAAATGGTTCCACAGAGTGCATTAAACATTTTATTAAAAAATAAAAAAAAGCAAAGCAGGACTGTGCTGTGCCACAGATTTTCAAAGGATCTCTTTCACAGTCCTTTTAGGAGCTTCTGAACAGGAGTTTTATGAATTTATAACAACATATATGTCAGGCAGACACTGGAATTCAAATTATTTTAACTCCAACTAAAGGCCTGTGTTTGAATGTCTGAATGCATTCCTTTGTGACTCAGATTTCTGGAGTCTTAAAACTGCAAAGACCATATCTTCATTATAAATATTCTATTTCTTAGTCATTCTGGTATCAAAGGACTGCTGGAGAAAAAATCTGCACAAGTGTGGTCCAAGAGGAAGCAGAAATCAGAAGAGTTTTGTTGCAGAGGTACGGATTTGTAGAGCCAAACACACTCACTAAGCCTGGCCTCTCTATTAGGTATCTGGATATTTGGTACCAAAAATGCATAAACCCARAATGAATATTGGCATTGCTTAGCTAGTACCCACATGGCAATGTGATCTGTCTTGAGCCTAGTTGCYGAGGATCTATTAGACTTATTTACTGTTATGTGGGATATTTTTCTTGGTTTCTTTTCAATCTAGTACAGTCTGGATGCCTGCTGGGCTGGAGGGTTACTGCAGACCTCTGTATTTGCCTTGCTGGTTGTTTCTGCTGATTTCTTAACTATCAGAATGGCTCACAAATGGCTGGCTTATTGGACTAGTTAGCTGAATGACTATTAAAGAAAATACATTCTTTCACAATGAACCCTGCAATTGTTTCCTTGGAAACTCTTTTTCAAGCAYTTGCTGAACACAATAAATATTTCCATGTGGATCTATCAGCAACGTGGCGTACAAATAACATGGYTGGAATTAGGCGTGAGAATGGCTTTATGTTTTATGAATGTCTGATTGATTTTTAGAAACATGATTGCTTTTTTCACTTAATGAAACCCTCAAAAAAAGAAAAAAAGAATTTCAATTCAAGATTTATGATTTAGGCACTACAAGATCTGGTACAGGCAAAAAGCACCCGGTCTGCCTTCCCCACGGCTGCATTTCCAGCAGCCAACCGATCCCTCTCTTGAATGCCCTGAAAGTCTCTGAGATGGCTCATGTGYAGGAAGTAACTTCCACCCTGTTCCATGCAGAAACAGCCATCAGCACTTAGCTGAAGTTGCATCTCTCATGCATGTGCCAACACARACACATCAGCTAGGAAGGAGAACCCTGGCCAAGGCAGGGCTTGGCTAAATAATCTGACCTTTTTCTTGGCTTGGCTCTGAAATTTATGTGAAATGTATCAAGCCACCCCATTCTGGCTACCTGCTGTGCCCAAGGCCATTGGTCAGTGCAAAGAAATGATTTTTTAAATTAACACTCCGTAGTAACATTTTCTAAAAACTTAAAATGTTGTTAATGGTAGAGTTCCCAAACATGAGCTACAGGGAGCAAAGCACACCTAACATTTTGGGTAGCACATACTCAGGGCAGTCGTTTAGTCCTGGAATCACATTTATGCACCAGTATTTAGCCAAGCCAACTTTCCAAGAAGATATATTGCTGAGGCTGACACTAAGCCCCATGCACTTTGTATCATTCATATTCTGTTACAATGGTTTAACTGTTACAATGGTTTAACTCTTCTGTGCTTCTTTGTCCCAAAGAACATGGACCAGCTGCATTTTACCATGACTCAATAAGAAACTTTAATTCTGCACATTTCTCCGCATTGAAATGAAGATTTAGCAGCAACCTGATTTTAATAAGATTTCTTTCCCACCTTTGCATGACAGAGAAATAACCGTAACTGGGTGTTTTTGCATTGGTTTCCACCTCAAAAGATTCCAGTCCCCTTTTGCAGCCCAGCAGAGCCTTCACTATTCTTGCACTAAGAAGTTGATAAGAGCAGTTCTGGGAGACAGAAAGGCCTTTTTAATTGCTCGTCCCTGGAGATGCTTGACTCCAAGTTCACTTTGAAGAACTAGCTCATGGACTTCTTCAAAATTGCGGGCTGCTTGCTGAGGCACAAAAACTTTGCCGCAAGCTTTGTTATTGATCTGAAAAAGAGACATGAAAACAAGAAAAAACAGACGTTACTGGACTGCTTTCTACAATTTAATTTCCTGTATCCAATCCATCTTGTTACACAAAGAAAAGGAGAAAGTGGAATAAACTCTTTTCTCCAAAACCACACTTTCTAAGTAGAGGATAAAATTCTTCCTGTCTTTCTAAGTAGAGGATAAAATTCTTCCTGTCTTCTGTTCATCTACCATAAGATAAAACTCTGACTCATGATACTCAAAAAAAAAATTGAAGAAGTGGCCACAAGAAGTCTCAGTTTTGAAGACAGCAAGKAGCATGTGACAGTGCAATGCAGCAATCTTTTAATTTTAAAAATGTGACAGTCACATAAGCTGCATAAAATGGTTTTGTCTAGTGGGAGTCTTGGTTTGTACATACTTCTGGGCAGCAATTTGGATTCTTTACAGCTAAGCAATGTCTTGCAGAGATTCAAATGGAAGATTTATTATTTTTAGAAAAATAGGCTTTAACTTGGTGTATGTTGCACTCATTGTTGTATGTTGCACTCAAGCCATGGCTCATTAATCCAACACAGACCACAAAGACATCAACTACTCACAAAGTAACATTCTCCTGTGTGTGGCTGATTTTCAGAGCAGCTTCCATGCTGGTTTTGCTTTAGTAGGCAGAATCACATAAGTAAAACTGAGTAAGCCTTTGGTGGGAATCACCTTAATTTATAAAATGGTTTTATAAATCCTTTCTGTCATCCAATAAGAGTAGAAAATGGACACAGACTACAGAGCCTGACCGAGTACCTTTATGGAGCTGGCATAAAATTAATTATCACAAAAGCTTGCAGATTTATATGGACTATTTTCAGTGGCTTAATAGAAGAATGTCAATCACACATTTTGAAAAATGAAATAATTTGAATTTTTTAATACAGTTAATCACATTACTTGCATAATAATCTGCTGTAGGTACTGCAGATCTCTGACCCCTAGGCATCATTTCAAGGAGATTTCAACCTTCTAAAAGAAACATACATTGCTTCATGTARTTTGGACATAAAGATGTACACAGCCTGGTTTTCACCTCAATTTTACCCAGGATATCTTTATGCAACATATAACAAATGAGAGAGGCCTAGTTCACTTACCTAGTTAGTCTTTTATTGAAAATAAAAKGATTTGTGCAATTCCCTGAGAGAGGAAGTTGGGACAGATTTTTAAGGAACAAGATGAAGTCTCAAATGCAGCAAGAATGAGCCACTTCTGCTTTTTGAATAGTCTTGGCAATAATTTGCAGTGATGTCAGTAGGCTTTTAACCATTCCCACACGCGTCCATAATGTGGCATCATAAAAGGTTGGCTGTGTTAAACTTTGCCTTTAGCACCTGGTGCAAAGTAAATCCCTTGAAAAACAYGTAGGACTTCATTTTTAAAGCTTTTGTGAAAAATAAATACAAGCAGTTCTTTTTGACAGGACACCTCGGAGAAGAAATGCATTCCACAGAAAAAGAAAACAGTAAAATCCAAACAGATACAGTTTTAGTGGGAATATAAAGCAAGCTTCTCAGCTTGCTGCTAGGACACGCAGTCTGCAGTTCAAAGCTATGYCTGCCTAGTTAAAATGTCATTCACTGTCCTCCATCATGCAAATTAATATGTCCCAGTGGATGGATGCTGGCAGGGGGAAATTTTCCACAACTAGTTTGGTGCTGTTCTCAACAGAAAAGCCAAGCAGTCTAAATCTACTTGGTAAATAAATGACTGCTAGCGGTTGTGTTTTCCTAGAAAGGTTGAGAAGCCTGGGCGACCTGGCACTGTGTAYCTTCCCACAGCACATCTCCACCTTCCCACAGCATGTCTCCTGATCTTCCCACACTACCCTGTCAGCTGGCACCACAATTCCTATCAAACAGCAGACTGGTTATGGTTTCACTGTGTGCCTGAGCATGGCGTTCATTATCTCATAGGTATGAAGCATTTTAACACTATTCCTAAAACAGGCAGCTGCAGAATTAATCACATGCTGTGTGTAACAAGCATCCTATTTACATATCCTTTTAGTCCAGGGATTGGCTTAGGTTGTCAGCAGGGGACATGCCTTCTGCTATTCCTCTACCTCTCCCTGTATCTCATGAGACCAACATAACCTTTGGCATTTCCAGGTAAAAGTGCCAGCGCAAGAAAACTGGGTGCTGGCAGCCTTGTTTCTCTGAAAAACCATGGCGAAGTGCAAGAGGAGAAATTCACAAGTCCTGGGTCCTTTCTTCCCCTGAGGACAGAAGCTGTTGCTTTTTTCTTTTCTTCTTTTCCCTCACTTCCATTTTATTTTTTAAACATTTGACATTCCACACTATTCTGGATCTACAGGGAGCTAGTGGGAACTACAGAGGTTATAAAAGTTGAAATGAAATCATGAAAGAGTGAAAAATAAGCATCTTGAGGCTGCAGAAAGGAATATTTAATTCAACTCAAGTATTTTTTTACCATTGATGCATAATCCTTCCTGAGAAGAAAAAAGAAAATAAATATCTGTGCACTGTTAGGCCTCCCTTATATGCCAAAGCAAGAAAAATGACAGAAACTTTTCTTTTATTTATAAAAACATCAGTTATAAGACCACATCTGCTAACAGTTCTGCACYACGTAGAAAATGTGAGGAATGATAGTCAGAAATGTGTTCATAGGATGAAATCCACAGTACATTCAGGTCAGATTTCTCAGAGCACTAATAATACAAAGTATTATTAAAAATACTCAGTTTTGCAATAACATTTAGACTTAACACATACTGCGCAAATCCAGTGAATTTAAATGTCTTTTTTGTATGCAATCTATATTGCTTCAGCCAAGGATACAGTGAGTTGGTTGYTTTTGTTGCTTTGGGTTAAATATGGTAAGACGTAACTCCAGCACAGACAGGAAATAATGAAGTATTTTGTGTGAAGAGAAATAAACCCCAAATGTCTCAGCAGACAAATCCCTGGCAGCCTGAGGCAGTTTGATGGCTTGAGAAGAATAGGATTGTGACCCAAAGACTTGGTTTGACTGTACAGCCTTGTGAAGAGACACTGACTCTTTGCAACTAACCAGTGTTTAATGAGGGCAATTTATTTTTGTAGACATACAAAAACCTACAGTGTCCACATGACTTCTCACATTCCCTGCWCAATCATATTCCCTGCTCCCCCATATTTTTGCCTCACTCTTAACAGTAGATAACCAGGCACATTCTGTAGGCACCATTGTTAAGGATTATTCCCAGTTCAAAAAAGCAACTTGTCTCTTCCAGTCACTTGCTTTCTCAGAAGCAAGGTGTTTATACACTTCATATTCTTCTATTCATATAGGAATATATGACTGAGAACACAGGAGTTGTTTTTTTCTCTTATTACAACAAGATTCTTACACAAAGCTATGGCTTTGACAAAGTCAACCAAAAAAGAAACAAAGTAATTTTCATAGTGGCTATATAAAGCAATTTTTTTTTTTTGTTTCTTCTTTTGAGAAGGAAATTCTAATGCCGGCAGAACAACATCAGTAAAATGCTGAGGTATTTTCACGTTTGGTCGTGCAGTCCTAAAAACATTCTGTCCAGAGTTTTCCCTGTGTTGTTGAAGTTGTTATTTCAGAGATATACTTAATAACATGTTTGCTTCAACCACAACTGCAAAGACCTTTCTATAATTACACAATTTCTCATTCATGACCTCCTTATAAACTGAACACTGGAATTCAAGATGTTTGCTAGCTGTGCTTGGACGTGAARGCTTATTTTGAGCTTGAGAGAAGTGATTATAACTCAGTGAAGATTTTTACTGCTATAACTAAATGCTTATTACTTGAAGAAAGAAAGAGAGGGCAAGAAAGAGCAAAAAAGCAATGAATCCACAGTGACTATTAAGCTAAGTCTTCTATTAACCCCAGCCAGCAACTGAGTCCTTCTCCTTGATTTGGGAAAACATACCAATTGAAAATTTCCTTCAAGAATATATACTCCTTGGCTTCTGTTAAGGGTGTATGTTTAATGTTGGAAAAATCAGTGTTTTAAACAGAATGTCTCATTCTGTTCAAATAAACTGACCGAGAGATCTGGTGAGATTAAAAATTATTTGCAAAGGTATTTTGATTAGGGAAATTTATAGCAACGTGGCTTCTCCTAAATTCAACCAACTCTTCCCTCCTCAAAAAACTCAGCTCAGCAAAAATAACCCAACTGCTTTGCTCCCTCTCTCAAAGGGGCAAACAGAATAAAACACAACTAAAATGCATTGCTTCTTTTACACATAGAGAACATGCAGTTTTACATGATCAAATGACGTTTCTTCTATAGGCTCCATTTCATTYAATGTCCAGAAACACAGGAAGTTTTTGAAGTGAAGCATTTAATTTAATTTAAAACACTGAAGTCGAAAATGTCTGCACTAAAGATTATTCTTTAATGAATAGTGAAAAAGGCAGGAGTCCTGCAGATCTAGTAGTATGTAACTACATTTATTTACACACTACCATAATGCCCTGAACATGAACAACTTGAAGGCAGGTAGACCAGGAGTCAGTCAGTGGAAGAGCTGAGACACTGCTCAGGGATCCCACGCATTTGGCTCCAGGCATTCATTCCCTYTGTGAATGAATTCCCTCTGCAGTGGCAGTTGCTGCTACTGTGCACTATGCAATGACCAAGCTTTTTGATGCCTGGCAGCACCCTGAAGACACGCTGGTTAACTGGAGCCATAGGAAAGAAGTGACATGGTGCACATGCACACGTTAGCAAATTGCAGGTCAACTAAATGTAGTTACATGTCCWCTCTTCCAGTGAACAGCCAGCTTCTATCCTAGACCACAAAGGGCTAAGAGCACAAGGAGAAACTGGAAGTTATAACACTTCCAAAATAACTGGTTTTCTCAGCCCCTTTCCCGCAAATACACTCTTCTGACATGTACAAGACATTCAGCCCAAGGGGGATGGGAAACACCATTTGGCAAAAGTCACAACTTAACCCAGCTTATGATTGGCTCTGCTGGGCAGCCACAGCACTACTGGTACCACAAGAAATATCAAACTAATGGTACATTTTTTGTACACGGCCAAGTTAATAAATGCACTGTCAGGCAAAACAAATCTGTATTTTGATCATAGTTTTGACTGTATCATCCTTGCCCATGGCTGTTCATTGGTCAAATCTCCACAGGTACTAATATCTAATCACTCTGAAAGGTTTATATTTAGGGCAACTCTCTTCCAGATCCACTGTATTTTTCATTTAGGAAACCATTTTAATTGCTCAGCACAACTGTAATAGTAGCTTCTATTTTGAACTTTCACTCAGCCATCTGCTAAGGGAACTGACTTGCACAAGAACAGAAATTCCATCATCGTCTGGATTCATAACACATTAGGTGGCCACTACTGAAAATAAATCAAAATGCTCTTACCAGTACAGACATCTCCACAACATCTGATGGCTGAAGGTACTCTGGGTCTACTTTGGGCCAGGACTGATGCAGAACATCAACATCCCAGGGATGATGAACACAAAGTTTATTCTGCACATGTGCCAGACCTGGAAAATGAAAAGTAAAATGTTCATCTGTACTGTAACCAGAACGTTTGGTCTTTGGAATTTGTCTGACAAATTAAATCAGGATAAAGTTGACTTTAAAAGCAAGTGCCATAGGAGGAAATTACACTGTTTAGATTAGCATACAAGACATTATAAACAGAAAGATATACATCTTTGAAGCATTTGTTTTATACCATTTGTAAGGATATTAACAATGTGGCACACTGTAGATTTAAATTAACACTCTGTAACTCTGCCATGAGCACAGAAGACTWCTGCTTATTATTTCAAATTGTAGTACTGCAACACAAGCTGACCTCTGCTTCTAGAAGTCAATCATAACACTGCATAATACAATTTAATTTCAGTAACACCACCAGTTTGGTTAAACTTTTACTTACAACTGAGAATGATAAACAATTACACCTTATTATTTTACCACCTGTAATATGCTGGGTAGTTTCTGAATTTGCAAGTCAAGCTACTKGCAAGATTTTCTCTATGTTACCAAGGGCATTTTCTCACAAATTAAAYGTGCTACAAAGTAATGCCTTGCACAGCTTGCTCTTCTTATGGTTTTTACATTCTGAAACACTTTATCCTTTGATTTTATTTTTAAAAATTTCTAAAATGTGTATAAGTGATCTSTTTTTATTAAACAGGCTATAGTCTTCCCAAGATAATTAATTCCTGATTTGTTTAAGTAATAGAACAGGACACAAGTAAATCTGAAGCTGCATTCTGTAACTGAATAAAAGCTCCTGAGTGGATTTATGTTGTGGCTTACTGCAGCTATATGACAAAACACAAAGATTTCATTTAACAAGATGCTGTCAAATGTGATCAATATTGATTATGATTGCTCTTGCAATTCTCACAAAGCCAGGAGATTTTTGAATTAAAACCATTCTCTGTGTATGAATAAGAATGCAGACTAAAACTTCTTATAAGCACATGCTTCATTCAGAATTGCAAAATGTTTGTGAAAGCTCATCTGATTTAGAGAAACTCCAGCAGAAACATAAAGAAAACCCATCAGCACAAGATTCACTGGTGAGATGGAGGCACTAAAGCTGYTCAAAACACAGCACGACAGCAGCCATAGGCACAAACCCAACCCATGCACAGTGCATACGTGAATTCAGCTCGCTGGATTGTTTAGACTAATATGGTGAGTAACAGCTAACGGGGACATAAAGAGCATGTAACTTCCTCCAGAAAAATCCATCACATTTTTGTCAGTGTTTTTTCAGACACAGTGCTTTGGTAAAATGACACACAGCCATGCTATTTGCTGAATGAGTCAGAAAGGGGCAGCGGGGAGGACTGATGAGAACCATTTCTAAAGGCAAGCAAGAACATGCACATTTCCTAATGACAAMAACTATTTATTAGGTAAATAATTTATTAAAACACTTTAGTAGCTCTGATTTTGTGTATTTTTTTTCTTTTGCAGCAGTAGCTCAGAATCTGAGAGCAAAAGATAGAGCTCAAACTGAAAAAAAGTCTTCATATTGATGATTCATTATCACATTGACTGCAAAGACAACAGCTGTTAGATTCTTTCCTTTTTGGCTTTTGAACATCCAGATGAGCTCACTTCTTTCCAACTGATCACATGTCTTGTGGCAGAAGCATGCACGCTGGCCACTCCTTATTTTCCKGTTGAAAAGGATTCTTCAAACTATTTAAAACCCACTTTCTGATATAAGAGCTTCTATCTACAAAAGCAAAACCAGGGTCACTTTGACTTTCTGTGGAGGCTGTCACTCCCTATAAACTYACTAATAAAAAGATAATTAAAATGTATTCTGAAGCAGAAAAAGTATGAGTAAGCCCAGTGTCAATCTTTTGGCTCATTTTCTTGCTACAAAATGAACTATGAGCTCATCCATAGAAAAAGAGAAGTAGATAAGCCAACAGAACTAGTTTGAGAAAACAGTTTGACAGGAAACCAAAATGAAGGTCTTAGTTATGTTGCCTGTTTGGCTTTCTGCCTTAATTCACATTTTGTAAGCTGCAGAACACAGAAAATGCAATGAGTTTGGTTTGTATTTTCAAAATTCAACACACTAAATCAGAAACTCCACCACCTCAATCCAGGAAGACGATGGTCCACTCATGAGTACCTAGACAGAACCCTTCTCCAGCCTTCCCACTCGATTCTGAGACACTACAACAAAGCACTGTTTGAGACACTAAAAATGGGCTGTTTCTGAAACTTTATTGTGAAAACATAAAAAATCTATTTTATTGTCTTAGTGTACTGGAGAGCGCTTAGTGAAGGACATTTTATGAAGGGGTCTGCATTTTGCGCCATATTTTTTGATGTATTTTGCATTTAAGGCTATAGATTCTCTTGCAGACACAGAACAGAAAGCTGAGTACATTTTTACTTACTCTGAGTTATTTACTTACATGTACCCATCTGTATAGGACAACACTTGTGCTCAATCTGAAGCCCTGATCTTGCTATTGGATCTGCTTCAATAGACTTCCACTGACTAGCAAGCTAATACTACAGCAAGGTTTCCCTAACCAGTAACTCATAGCATTGGAACCCAAATGAAAACACCAAGTTAAAAGAGTACTATATTACTGTAAATCAGTGAGTGCAGAGAAACAGGGGAYAGGACCAGTCTAACAGCTTTTCAGCTCAGGGCAATGTTTTACTAGCATTACATGAGTATTTCATAAGCATCRTACTTCCCCTAAGGTGTTATTTGACAGGGAAGAGCAGATTCTCATTTAAAAGAGATTTAAGAAGGAAGACGTGGGAGCAATCGTGTATCAGTAAGGTGTTAGGACAGCCAGACAACTCTAACTGACAGAAAAAAAAAGCAGTGGAAAAAATAATCTGTAAAATTCCAGAAATTATTTGATTACTTGGACACAAAATTATGTAGACCACAGGAAAAGTTGTGATCATGAAATAAATTGAGAAAGAGCTGGCACTGGACAAGCCCTGACACTGAGAGGCTAAAGCAAAAAGGAGAAGGAAGATGGAAGTCTTAATGGATGATGAAAGGAAGCTAATGAAAGCATCTGAAACAATGGCAATATCAGAGTTTAGGACTAGGGATTTTCTAACACAAAATATAATAAGATCAGAGGGGGAAATATAAGATGACTGTGAAGGTGAATATCCAAATACTGCTAATTTTTTGATTTAGCTAAATTGAAACAACAGAAATTTGCATTAAGTAAAACCCACCACACTAGCAGATAAGCAGAAAAAGTTTTTTAAAAGCTCAGATCAGGAGTGTGTAAGAGCAAGTAGAGAAGCATTTTGGGTGAGAATCTACTTGCCCATACAGCCTCTTTCTGGCATTGTTACCATTTACTTTGTTCCCGATATGCTTTTTACTATTTAATGAATCTCCCTATTGGAGAGTTTCAGGCAAATAACATATCAGAAATATCTTTGCGCAGCTCAGGAAGAACATGTCTGTCAGTCATATGTGAARCAGTCTGCAATCTCAAAGAAATGGTAACAGTTGTTTCCAGACAGCTCTGAGGGAAGCTGTATTATACCAGTAGTTCAATAGTACAGAACTAGGTTGTAAAAAGCCTGGGTTACTGTAAGTTAACTCTAGGATGTGCTTGCAACTCAGCAAACTCCACACAAATCTTTTAACCTTCTTAAAATAGTCTGTCTTCCTCCATTTGAATGAATTGCTCCCCTTCCTTTTGGGTTACTACTCTTGCAGGGAAAAAAAAWTTAAACTCCAAATCATGTTTCTTCTTGGATTTGTGAAGGCAGATTACTACATTCGGATTTTCAGTTAAATCTGCAACATCGATTAGCTTTTACTCAATTCCATTCTTTACAGAARCCTTCTTGAACAAGGGCTGAATTCAGACAAACTCTTGCAAAAGAGCTATTGTAGTAAAATACTGCTAAGACAATGATACCATTAAAAACTAAAAAAAAACCTATGTTTAATTTCAGTATTTCCTAAGATRTGTTTATCAAAGGTGTACATATCTTTCATGTGCCACCTCTAATAAAAATTTAACAACTCACAGTAAGTGGTTTCATATCCTTGTCTGAACAGCAAAAYACAGTATGACTACAAACAAACTAAAAAAAAAGTCTCAAATAGTGTCTGTATATTCCTTAGATACAAGRTTTCAGGAAGGAAACTGATTTCCTCATCCTGTTAGTGTTCATAAACTGCCAAGATATCAGCCGGATGAACTCTTCCCACACTGAGGGGCTATGGTTGCTTTTYATGTTATTGAGCGATAAACCAGTGCATTCACTGCACAGTTAACACCATTAGGTTGACACACCAAAATACCAAAAACCAGACAGAGAACTTCTTCACAAAGTATCAAATAGCACTGGGTTRCTATTGTTCAGCTGCTGAAAGGTGAGGCACTTACAGAAGAGCATTCCAGCAGCTTCCATCGAAGAGTGGGGTCCACTGCTATAAGTGCAATTTATAGAACYAACAGTATACAAACTCCTTTTCCTGACTCATTTACGAGAGAGGAAGCAGCAGCATCCCGACATTCAAATGCAAAGCCAAGGTRCAAAAGGAGGGACTTATTCTGTGTTTGGAGAACTAAAGCACAGAGAAAACTAAACAAAGTATTTAGAAACCATAGCTTTCATATTGAAATTACTGAAAATAGTAAGTATTTTGTATCATCACCTATATGCAACAAAGTTTAAGGAATTGGTTACATCAGAAGAACAAMAGGTCTTGGTGGAACCACAGTGCAATTCAAAACATGAACTTGGAGAATCTTTAATSTGAAATCCCGATCCCAGGACAGAATTGCAAGATGTTGGCTATTTCAAAATAATATAGTCTTCTTACCACAATGCAGCAGTTAAATGTACGTACATACTCCTGATAAAATTGTTTAATAACTTCAATATAATGCAATGATTACCATGCTAAAAGATACCATGGTTTTCAAATTTAGTAATAAAATTCTTCAGTCAACAATCAAAATACAATGGTTTTTCAGGATTGCYGCACTGAATTACAATGCACATGTCTCTGGACCACACAAGTAAAATTTTATCTTTAAATGCAGACAGAGGCTGAGGACAATACACTTCCAATTTTTACATGCTTCCTTTTCATTCTCACATCAGAGGGAGATCCAGAAAATGTTTATCATTTTCATTCTCCAGTGATTTTAGYAGCAAGAAAAGACTTCCTTATCTAACACTGAAAATGCTACAGGATTGAGTTTTATGTTTGACAAGTTGTTAATTAAGATACCCTAGTGCTCTTTGTCATTTTTTCAACCATATTTGATAATCCTGTATTTCCTAACATGTATTAGATTTCCAAGCTCACAAGGCACTGTATGTATAAGTAATTATCCTGCTCTCAGCCAATGTGGAAAACAGTCATGCTAAGCTCTCTCATTTAGTATTATTTTAATTAGATGGCACTTCACAGTATGAGACCAGATGGATCATGTCTGATGCCACTCTTTATTCTAGACACTTAAACTTCTGTTAAGACATTTTAAAATCACTGAGAACGAAAACATATGCAAAAATCCCAAACCATTCTCCCTAGTACATTTTCTTGTTTCCATAGGCTCTGCCTTCGTGTTRTTGCTCTGAACAAGAGCAATCTTTCCATGGCAATTAAAATTACAGGGCTATGTATAACACTGAAATATGATCAGTTTAGTAGCACTGCTCTGCAAACATTTGAATGCACAATGTTTTGGGATGACCGTTGAAAATAAAACCATTAAAAAAGCATCCAAAAGCTAACATTAGGTCCAAAACCACACAGCAGTTTGTGGCCAGCCACAATGCAGAATATATTCCTATCTTCCCACATGCATCTTGGGACTTTTCCCAATAAACCTTAAAATCAGCTGCTGAACTCTGGCATGCAYGTCCCTTATTTCACAGGCTTTAACTGTATCAGAACCATGCAACTTAGCCCACTTGGTATTCAGACCTGTACAACTGTGACAGATCATAAAAAAGATATCCTGTCTATCATTTCCATTCTCCATGGCAGGTTAATTTATAGCATAATATCCTTCAGTCTCTGGGCATTCTAAAGAGTTAGATTTTTATTGAACACTCCTTTAGTCTTTTTAGTATCCAGCTCTCTGATATGATTCTCTTTGCCTGAATTCCTGAAACAAAATATTTGCAGTCCAAAGACTCTGAAACAGCTATTTGAAAAAGGGCTCAGCTCTTAATAGTGCCATCCATATCTAGGAGCAGTTAGCAGCTGACATATGAATTACTCATGCAAGTCCTGTCTTGAATTTTCCTTCTTTCTCCCTTTCTCTGCCTAGTTTCTCTGTCAAGTTTCACCTCTGTGGGCAAGGAAAAAGAAACAAATGGCAGAAAAGAGAGATGTGGGAAGGCCACAAWGTTCAAGTTTGTTTAACAATTATGACAGAAGGTGAAGAATTGCARGATGAAAAGCAAGATGAAGAATTCGGAGGTAAGTGACACATGTACTATGTGTCTAGACACATGTACTAAGACATTTTTGTAATTTTCCTGTCGTTTTTCCTGGAACATCTCTATAAAGTTTATAAATACCTTTCCACATCTCTGATGCAATGTGGGGAGCCATAGGTGCGACCATAATGCAGAGTGAAGCCAAAGCATCTTCAAATTCTGTGCTGTGGAGAACAAGAGGTCGAGAAGCTTGCTGAACAAAAAGACAAGGAAAAAGAAACAAACTATTAACATTCTGAGGCAGGGGGGAAAGTTGTTTAATCAAGAAGAAAATGCAGTAATAAAACCTAAAATCAATGTCTATGCTAAGGAGAGTGTAATTTCACAATAAATGGGAAACCAATGAAAACGGAAAATTAAAATCATAATTCTTGGTCATAGAATGCTCTCTAACACTTAGAAGCTAATCCTTAAGTGGCTGATGAAGACCCTTGGGGATCTGCTCTAGCACAGGAGTTTGAACACATGCTTGTGGAGAACAGTGGCCAACAAAATCATTTTGAGTGCTAGGTTTTCTCAAAGTGCAATCTAAGACAAAAACAGAACTATACAAGAAGAGGTGAAGTACTTGTCTATGGCAGTCGAACTGTGCTGAATGCAGTTCAGTTCAAAATGGGTTTTGTTGGGAAAAGGTTCAATTGTAAAGAACACAGATTGGCTTAAGTAAAGCTGAATTTAGTGATGTTTTAGAGCTGATGAAAGCTTTGGAAATGAAAAGCACAGCAAAGCCTTTTACAATTTGCTGTTCTGATTGTTTTAGTAAAAGTGTCTGCCTTTTCTAGTATAGAAAATATTCAATTTCTGGCAAAAGGTACGTGACTGATGAAATTTGAACCTAATTTCTCCATTTAACTTAATATACAGAAAACTTAAAACAAACTTAAAAGGAAAAACATAGCACTAAAAGTAACCATATRAAATTTTTCTTTCTTTGCCTGTGTAAGAGATTATATTCCATGGTAAATTCAGCATTTATTTTGTAATATATTTCTAATATATGCACAGAAAAATGTCAATACATGTCAGCTTATGAGAATTATTTGATGTGATGAARTCCCATTCTCATCAAGTAGTAAATTGTCCAAAACCAGTAATTTGCCTGATCTCAAATGTCAGAGGGCATCTTCTTATCACTACCTAGGTTAGATACTAACAAGGTCAGTTGCAAACTATATTTGAATAAGTTTTACTAACTATTACCTGCTTTCATTATTTAATCCTTGTCCACCTCTCCACTTCCCCCTTTTAACTGGAAGCAAAAGAGGAACTGTCAGCATGCTATATGGAAACTTGTTCTTCAGGGATACTGCACTGATGGTCAAGTATCTGAAGGACACTGAGTTTTATATATTTTTAACATTCATTCCACCATCTGCTAGCCCCAAATGCCAGTGAATCACTCAGGTGGAGATRAAGAACTGTGTGTTACCTTCCCAAYACCATRCAGTATCCCATAYTTCAGTTATCTCAGTACAGGACTTGTGCACAACCTACTTAACTTTCTGTTAAGTTCCTTGATTTTGCCAATAAGCTCCTTGGAATCCATAAGGTAGAAAATGGTATTTCAATAAAAAAGTTGAAACTTCCAAAATTTTATTTAATTTCTGGTCTATATCAAGTTATCATTMCATGCCTGAAGGATTGCTCAACCAGATCAAAGAGCAGTAACAAAAATAATGATAATAACTTATTATATTTCATCCATTAGACTGGCTATAAACAATGTAATCTGAACTAAAAATCTTAAATTCAGCAGTGTAAAGTGTGTTTTGAACTGACCATGTGTGATTTTCCTTGCAAAGAACAACTCTTTTAAATACAAAATGTTTGGTAATTCCAAAATGTACCACTATACCTAGCTACCTCTGCAACTTGGCTAAAATCAAGAGAACACAGAACAGAACTAAACAAAATGTATCCCCTTCAAATAACAGGATGCAGACATAAACASCAGAATCTAGTGGATCTAATACCATCAAGCTCCTCCTGCAAAACTGTTTATATTTCAGGGTTACAGTGATACTAGAACATGCTGCTTTTGAACTGATTAACTCAACAATGCTCTTGACTTATTAACACTGTTTATGAAGTTAATGACTTACAGAAAGTTGGACCTATACTTCAGGCAGCTCCTGCTTTGTATAAAGACTGACAGGAACAGCATCTGAGAGCAAAATACCTTCATTAATATCACATACTTACATGGAGTACATTAGTGAGGCTCATCAATCGGGAAATAGCTGCATTGAACAAATGATCCTTTGTGAAGTACTCAGTTACCTTGTATTAGAAGAAAAGGTCTGTCATTAGTTACTTAAAATTCTCAAACTTGGAATACTGGGTTTTTAAATGAAAAACAATTACCGATAATAAATTTCCATTTGTGAAATATGCGCATCTTACCTCTTACATTAAAATCATTTTGGTACGCAAACACATCATATGTGCAATAATGTGTGTATGGGAAAATAACAATAATATAAAAATRCAACTGATTAGCTTCCTTTCTGTTTCAGGATTTAAAAAGCTTCAATCAATGCTATGAAAAATGTGTCTTAGTCACCCTYTATTTCCTTTAATAAAGTATCTTTCCTATGCCCCTACAAGAAGGCTTCTCTCTTGTAAATCCATTTATACTGGTGAAAGCTTGTTCATAGATTACAAGATTAGAATTATAAAGTCTGTTAAATGGTCTGGAATATCCTTSACAGCAGGGTTTAAAACAGCAAAAGTTTTTATCCATAGAAAAATAAGTTAATTTTGTAGGTATTTATGTCTCTTTCTGAGTCTTGGATAATTGAATTGGATGCTAACCACAGTAGGATACAACACATAATAAGAGATGAAAAACAATTTCTGTATTTTCTTTAAGGATCTGCTAATATATTTTCACCAGTGGCTAGTTTCACTCTATATGAAACAGCAGCCATAATGAGGTATGAAGCAAACAGATCAAAAGCTGTAGGGGTAACCTACAGCTGTAGGGGTAACCTACAGAACTCACCTACAGTTTTGCTACTGAAAATGGAGTTCCTCAAATCCCAGATTGATAACATTTTAATGCCATAACATTTCATCCCTTAAATGAAGCATACAACCTTTATGTAAGTTCTGTCCCACAGAATTTTTAAGTAGATAAAATTATTTACATAGAGAATAATTCACTTAAAAATAATGAGCTACTCAACTGGGGAAAAAGCTTCTGGCTCTGTAAGTCAAACATATGGTTTTAGCAGAAGACGCAACTTATTTAGTCATTTAGAAACTATGTAAGTGTTTTTTTTTTTTTAACCTCAGAAATCACCAGATTCTTCTGCTCCCAGATCTTTCTTGCTGCAKCCTTCTCTTTCTTATTCAGAAGCTCAGGATTGGGCATGGTTCCTGAAGTCCTTGCTTCAATAAGTTTGGTTACAAGTGCCCAGAGGCGCGTCTGCCATCTCTGAACACCCGGCATAGCATCAGCTGGGATCAATGAAAGATTTCAGAAACAAATTAAAGTTACAATTAAAGAAACTTGAACTTTAAAGAAAAAAAGAAACAGAACAGTAGAGTTACACATCTTTTTTTAAAAAACTCTATATCTTAAATGAAAGATACCAATGCAATTAAAAATGTCTTTRCAAGTAATGCTGGGTTGCTTTAGTTGAATAAAATCAGTAAGATAAAAACACTTTTCTGCAATGACTGTAAAGCATATAAATAGCAAGAATATAGCAYAGAATATTTGCTAAGATCTGTAAAATAACCAAATGTTATGTTAATGCTAGAATGCTCATCGTGTGTTTTAGTGACTCCACAAAGGAGCTGTACGTGCTCTCAGGTTTTGAACTGATGGAAGAATACATCTATCTGTTTATCTTTCTGTCTGTCTGTCTATCTACACACACATAGGTATGTACACACATATTTTTTCAAATGAAGTTTCTTTTCAAATTTGATTTTAGCAAGTATGTATTGTTTTGTTGCTACASAGATGCCATTATGCTAATGAGTACAGACTGATCCTTGGTACCCTCTTTTGACACAGCTTAGTTTGGGATGGGGAGACTGTGAAGCTGTTCACCTTGACCCTGAAGGCATCAGGTCTACTCCATGGCTGCTCACACCATGGGACAGAAGGACATGAGGCTCTGCCTTGATGTCCACCATGAAAGGACAAGGAACCTAGTCTGAAAGTCAAACCCAACACAATCTGCTTGATTTATTCAATTTAAATGTCCATAGTTTCATAATCATTAAGAAATTCAGACCAAAGCTTACAGATTTAAGAGATGCTTTTCAACTGCTTTCTATTTGCTTTCCCCTGGAACCATCTTTAGACTGCTAAATCTCCTTTTTGTTCACATTTTCCAGTACTCTTAACATGACATGATGCTGAAATCTTTCTTTGTATTTCTCAAGTGGTAAACTGGTTAGCTTGAATGATTAAACACATTTTTGCTAGCATTATAATTGTATGTGCTTAGCTTTCTTAAAAAAACATTTAATCACCAAGCTCTCRTATACTTTGCAACTAAGATTTGGTACACACTATTCTCACAGTAATGTAATCATTCCATTTTCAAAATCAAAAAGTACAGCAAAAAGATTGTGCATCTCTGAATTAGCTGACTCAGAGGGAACTGTGTACCTGTGTAGTGTTTGGGATGCACCTATTAAGGCTTGAATCTAAGTGGTTAATTTCTTTAAGAGACCTTTTCAAATATCTAGCTCTCTACTGTTGTGATTAGAGGGTGACAGAAAGCTAACTGAGAACTCATAAAGCCCACTCCTCCAGTACATGGAGTAGTGCAAGAGTATGTAAAAGAACACACATGARTATAAAGYATGACAGACAMAATTAAATAATGTTTAGTGCAGCTGAACTAAGYGCCAAGAACTTAACACATGAAAGAATGAAGAACTGCTCTTTTTTAAACCAGGCATGGAGTGTTTTATTAAATCCTCATGCAACAAGAAGGTGAAATGTACATGAATGTATAATACTACATTAAAATTTATGTATCGCAGTAGATAAAAGAAATTAAGACCTGTCAGTACGAGGAATTGCATGATTAGGAGTAAATAAGTGCACAGGAGGGTAATTCTTAACTTATTCAAGAAGTAAACTCATAAAAATGTCATATCTAGAAATACTAATTACTAGGAACTCTGATTATCGTCTAATGAGATTCTTCTGAGAAGTATTTCACAGTCCAGCTTACAAAAGCCATTGCATGTGTGTTAATAAATGGAAATAATTAACTATTGTAAAGTTGTATCTGTGAACTGACATGATTAAAAAAACAGATTACAAAAAATAATATAATAAATTTCGTTAATCAATCATTGCTAATTAAAAAAAAGAGAATGAGGTCCAAGCTTCCAGAAGAGAATACAATTTCAGAAGTACTTTTCATATGTGCTTTTAATCTACAAGAGGAAAGCTGCTTGCAACAATCTTGCAAGTTTGCCTCTCAGTAACAACTTCAGGAATCTCTCTTTTAAAAGAGACAAGCAATAAAACGTGTTTATGATATTTTTTGTTTCATTTTTCTAAAAACTTTGTGTTAAAAATAAAACACTTGACAAAAATCAACCTACAACAAAATAAGTAACAGAAACAATCTAACTTACTTTTAGCATCCCACAAAATGTCTTGTTCTGGAGGAGCAGCAAACAGAATGTAAAGACGTAGGGTGTCAATGCCATACTCTTTCACTATTTCYTCAGGGTCTATTCCATTGTACTTAGATTTGCTCATTTTTTCCCAAGCAACTTGGAGCTTCTCACCAGTTTTACGGTGAACTGGTTCYGTTCCTGAATATTAAGACATACAAAACATACTGAAACAAATTTTGCTCACTTCTGATTTGATACAATTCTTACCTGTACTTAGCTTTTACAAAYACCAGATTGATAAGTTTCAATTGCAGTAAGCTGCCCTGAAAAGAGTGTGCTTTCTCTTGCATGAATTGAGACAGAATGGGGCATTTACAGTGAAAAAGGCACAACTAAGTAAAATCCTCTGTTACAAAAAAGCCTAATCTTTTCTAGAAGGAAATAGGATACCAGAGGATGGCAAAACTTAAGAGGGTGGGTTGGTTGATTGGTTTTTAACTGACTTACAGGGTTTGTATCCAGTGAGAACAAGGATATATGAGATGAATGCTTAAGAGAGGCAAATATGACCAAACCATTYTTGTTGCTACAGGTGCCACAGCAGTGACTTGCTGTTCCAGCTTATGCAATGAAGGCTCTGGAAAGAACTTGAGAAATTGCACTGTTTCCTACAAGTTCTATTTCCAATACCTACTGAATACATCTGCACCTGTGTTAGTTTTGCCATGATGTTTTCATAACTTGTCTATTTGCTGGGACTGACTCCATTCAGCAGGCTGCTGAGCACTGTCTTAACCAAACTGATTTTTGATCTTTTGGATTACACTGGAGCTAAAATAATACCATAGCACTGAGTCTGTCTTTGGATGCAATTAAAAGCTTCTGGATTAATAAGATCTCTGTGCACTCAGCAGAATGTGTGAATCCAAAACTCACAGAAGCTGCTCTCCAGTTTAAATATTAGAAGGATTAATTTTCTTTTCCGAATTTTCCCAATATTGAGACTTGTACACTGAAGCAGTCCTTGGCTTTAGGGACACACCTATGCAGATTTTCCCATGCAGTTTCTCTTACCAGTGAGATCAACCTCCTCTCTCTTCAAACACTGGCCTGTTGTTGTTAGCCTGAATGTCTGATTCTTGATAAGACCTTGAACCAASAGCTTATGGAAAGGCTCCCTGAGGACGGAAGGAAAAAGAAACTTCTCTGTTGAAAAGAGCCATCAAAAGCATACTTTATGATAARCCTCGGGTGTTGAGCCAAYCAGGCACTATTTTTTAATGAAACAAGAATTTCAAGTTGACTATACATAAATAGTTGTCACCTTAGAAAGAGCACTTTGTGCACCATTTATTCATGGTGGTTGGCTGGCAAGCTGTAAGTATTTATTTGCATTCTGCTCACATTCTTGCACCCTGATTTACTACTAAGTTATTCTAACATCACTTTTCAAATTAGCATATGGATAAAACACAGAGGTTTCTTGGTCAACAGCACAATTTCCCAATGTCAAGCTAAATCCCTCGTGTAAAAGCATTCAAGTACCTGGCCTCACTGTCTTACAAATATTTAGTTCTAGCTTCTCTCTGAGGAGCATAGGATTTTGAAGAAAATCAAAACGTTTTTGCGCATTTCTTTCTATAAACAGGTAAGACAGTTTCTCTAACATAAGCACCCACATGCCTTGTCCCTTTGCAGAACCAGCTGGGAAGGCCTGGCTGCATGAAAAAATACATCAGAAAAAGGCAATGCTGGAATGTTTGTATCTCAGTGCATCCATTTTTTAGCACCTTACTTTTCCAGCAAAATTTACATCAGGGAGAGTAAACTCCCATAAAATGAGTATATGATAGTGCCAAAAAGAGCCTTGAAGGGCAGTAGTGCACTTAGCAAGAAATAAACTCTAAGTAAACACTGCTGTGGTTGACACACTATTATGGCCCCTTCCTTTAATGATCTTGCATTTCTAATGCATTGAGTCACATGCCTGTCACTGTTTTCACTGAAAAAAAAAAAGGCAACAAAATTAATCTCCAAAGCTTCTGGTTCCCACTTAACAGCACAGGAAAGTAAGGCAGCTGTAACAGCAGCCTCAGGAACAGTAGGGGCCAGGGAAGGAGGAGGTRTGGAGCCAATCCCAGAAGGCATACACAGTCTGAGAGCCTTTTCACGGGATCCTCCAACACAGGGACATCAGTCACCATCATTCTGGAGGACGTGATCATCAGCACTGCTTAATACTGACTTGCATCTCCTAATGCTCACATTGTGCTCAACATGAAACCATCTGAATTTGCTACACTTTTATCTAATGAAGCCTCAAATGCGTACAAAACAACTTATGCAAAAAGAATGTATTACTCCTATTATTTTTTTAAAAAATCCAGAATATACCCATCTAAAAAAGAAACAGTAAAACCAGACTTCCTCATTTTATTTCACACATACAAAAAAGTCATAATCCAAAACACGACTCAATTTTAGGGAGTTAATATAGTATTTTACATTATTAGGAAATATAAATGACACCAGAATTTATCTCATGATTTAAAACAAAGTAATTTAATAATACATTTAAGATATTATTAAATTATATAACAATTAGGCATGTTTCTACCATATTAAAGCGGATATCTTCCGAGTACAAGTCCTTAAACACTTTGATGACTCTGAAATAAGGAGATATTTGACAACAAAACTTGAAACTGGGAGAGAAAGTGACAGGCTTCATATTTCATCTTCAACAGTTCATGTTTGAGCATGAGTTTACTTCCTTGCATATTTTGTATATTATAAATATTGTGCAAGTACTGGCACATATTGATGTATCACTCAGCCACAAAGAAGTACGAGTTTCTGCTATGCCACCTGGTTTTATCAACAATGCTAAGTAAGAGTAGCAATTCAAGCATCTCTATAAATATTTTCTAGACGATATTTCAAAGGTTGACTGAAAAATCTTGCTCTTTAGAAATAAAGGAATTTAAGGGAATGAGAACAGAAGTCAAATTTAGACAGCAAAACCAAGAAAAACTACTTTAAAAACAGGATGCAAAAATCATCTAAAATATCAAAAATTATTATAAATTATTATGTTCGTATCCAAATGTATTAGAAGGTAAAAATTTGGAACAAAAACTTTGTAACCCTATCAACAGCAATGGTGGGAAAATGCTTYAGGATATAATAGTTTAGGACAAATTTCTTCTACAAACTAGAGACATTACAACAGAGAAGAAAAATTGCCCCCCTATCATTCAGTACTTCAGTCTGTTTAAGATCTCAGACAGTTATTAAAATAGCTACACTTCCTGCTATCTAAAATAAAGCTAATGAGGTAGCCAGATCATCCAAATCTGATAGGATTCTCCACTGGAAGTGACTTTTCAAGGAACACTTACTTTTAATGACAAAGAGTTAGTTCAGATCATACGCCAAGTTACTAAAAGCCAAATGCAGGAACAAGCATTTCTTATTTTTGTTTATGCTGACAGAGGCTACAAAAATGCAACACAAAATACATTACCAAGTATGGGGAAAAAAACACCAACCATGTGTTCCTAGTGGGAGACCGCAGGAGTATGGAGACATGCCCAAAATGAGAAAGCCAGAGCCCATCTACTAAACCGGGCTCCAAACCAAATTGGAGCTCCAAACCGGCATTGGAAGCACAGTGATTTTGGCAGTGTTGTGGTGACTCCATCTCGTGTTCAAACGCAGAGTTACACTTGGATTCACATTAATAAAACTGCACMTCTCAAACACTCCCCTCCAAAGGTAGGGATGTATTTCTTGGCTGTTTAAGGGAATGCCAAGGGGCTGCAGCACAGCAGGCATGATGCAATTCTGACCTAAATACTGCAGCATCTGGTCATGGCATCATAAATACCTTCTGATCCAAAACACTGAGAATAATGAAATTAAGCCATTTTCAGACATACTGACATTTCTGGCATAGAATAAATGTCTGGAGTTTCTTTGAATGCTTGGTCATGTTTCACATTGTAGGTTTTCTGGAATGGGATAGGCCTTCACTTGCCTGTGAGGTTTGTTTGTGCTCATGCTGGAGTATCTGCACTGAGACCAYGGCCATATGCAGCTTTTGATCATGTTGTACATCCCACCTGCAAAGTCTGCCTGACACCTCTGAGAAGGATCAGATGAAGTGTGTAATCCATCTTTTTCCTTCCTGTAATGTTCATATACAGGTTCATCTCTATGACAGAGMGATCTCTCTATACAGGACCATGCAATGGATGGTAGGGCAAGCATGACTGACAGATCAGGAATTCCTGCTCAGTGCTGTGTCCYTGTGCTCTTTGCTTTGTTCTGTGCAGGGTGAGCAGCAGGACTTTCAATTCCCTTAGAAATAATCGGTCTGGAAGGACTCTGTGGAGCCTGCCACAGTGRTAAAATAGTGAATTCAGAAGAAGGGATAGGCCTAACAAGGGAGCTCACTGCAYGTATTTGCACCCTACACCTTCAGAAAGGCTGAAAGAGCCCGAGTGCTGTGTCCTGGAGTGAAGACAACATTATGTCAGTCACTAATAGCTGAGTCTAGAGGGTTGTGAAACCTGCTGTTAGACAAAGCTGTGCAACCTTGTGGAGGTGACTGAAGGATGTGTAAGCTGATAATTTTAGTCAAAAAAAAGACAAAACAATATTGAATGTTCAAGATTCCACACAGTTAACAGCTGAATGCTTTTGCTTAAAATCAGCACTAGTCACAAGGTCCTAAATGAATGCAGAGAAGCTGTAGCATCATTCTTTCAGAGAATAAGCTATTTCTGCCACACACGTATCTTTTTTTCTGTTCTTTAACTCAGCTATGAGAAAACAGTGCCTTCTTACTCAGCAGATTTGCTCTCTATCAGAGTCAAACCTGCTGACTTAACGGCAACAATAAACTTTTTTATTGCTTTATAATCCTTCAGGGAGAATGTGCTAAATTCCATTTCCAATTATTCACCAGACAGAACTGATTACTGAATTCTAGGGGAGAACCAAATTCTGTATAACTTGTACTTGCACAGTTGAGCAGGTGTAGCTGAGTGTGACAGCACACRCTTGCCATGGTGGATTAGGCTGGTACAGAGGAAGAGTTTTCTGGCCCCAGCTGCTTACCTGGCCCCTCTCCCAGCAGTGGTCACAGCTGGGAGGGCTTGCTGGCTTGTGAATTATTTATAGAACCAATGCATTTTACAGACCAGACTGCTAGAACAAATTGACATCAATTTGGACTTAATCTGATATCACATRTATGAATACCCAGAGGGTACCATTTATTCTGCCTTGTCATTACAGAGGAATTGAGCGGTATTTCTTTCCCACTGTCTCCAGTCCAGTGCACTAAAGCATAAAATAGAAGACCACGTCTCATCTTTAGGGGATATTTAAGCTATACTTACAATTTTAAATGCCTACAAACACTGCATTTTCATGAAGGTATGTGCATTTGTAAATGCCTATTTCATACATGTTGCCTAATATATTTCTATATATTTGAAGAGCCTTTGCTTTGAAAATCTAAACTACAGAAATTTTAACTTCTGTTTTCAACCACATTGTTATATTAATAGTCATTAGAACAGAAGTAAAGACTAYTCAGAAATATTTTAATGGATTTGAAAATCAGAGGATAGGAGCCAAACAAGAATAGGAGCCATAAAGAAAACACACCAGAAGGAAAAATTACTACAGATAAGTAGGGGAATCGTAAAGATTTTTAAGGATGCTATATGACACTTTAAACAGTGGCAGCTCTTATTAACTGAGATATAAGAGAATTTTATTAATTTCATCAGTGAAAAAGAGCTGAGCTACTAGAGGAAGACTGAAAATGCACAAGAGGGCAGTGTTTTTTAACATGTTAGTGTTTTCTCCCAGAGCTGTGGGCTTCGACATCATGACTTTGAGCTTCCTAACAACAAGACTGCTGTTTCTAGTCACACTTTTCAGATCTTTCAGACCAGCCTCTGAGCAGACCAAACAGAAGACTGAGCAAAAGTGGGTTCTGATTAACACTAAAACATTTAAAATCCATGACAATATTTATAAAGGAGTTACGATTTCCATATCAAACCAAAATCCTAATTTGACTTCATGGCTTCAAAGCACCTAATGCTTTACCTTGCCCAGAGCTAAAGCAAGTGAACAATTTTGTGCATGATGAYGAATTTGTTACAGTCATCTTGCAGTCTGAACACCTGGCCCTTGGGGTGATGCTGTAACAGATCTTCACATGTGCAACAGTTCTTGAGGTTGTATATGGTGCCAAAGGAATCCTCCCCAGTCTCGCAAACTGCTTCTACAGAAAGCAATTTCAATTTTTTTCTGCCATTGTCACTAGATATAGTCAGTGCTTTTTAAGGATCTTTTTTTCATTGAAGTTAGTTTTCTTCTGCAATTTACCATATTTAGACCAGTCTACTGCTACACATCTTTTGYGCTACTGCTCTGTCACACCAGAGTGTGAACAAAACACATTCCAAAGTAATGCAGYTACAGAATTCCAGAGTCCTTAGAAYAATGCAGGTTGGAACGGACCTCTGGAAGTCATTTGGTACAACTCTTTTCTCACATCAGACCTAACTTCAGGTTGTTCAGGGCCCTGYCCAGCTGAGTTTTGAAAATATGCAATGACAGAGATGCCACAGTGTCTCAAGTCAAATTGCTCCWGATTCATCACCTTCCATGCCAAAATTATTTTCCTTCCATCCAGTTGAATCTTGCTGCAATCTGTAACTGGTACTCCTTTCCTTTCTCTGTACCTCTCTGAGAAGAGTCTGGTTCTATCTTCTCTTTAAACCTCCTTTAGGTAGCAGTAAATAGCATTTACATTCCCACCTTAGCCTTCTCCATAGAAAACACACCCAACTCCCTTAACCTCTTCTCATATGTCATATGATCCAACCCCTGACTATCTTAGTGCTGCTCCACTAGACCCTCTTCAGTYTGACAGTGGACCTCACACTGGGGTGAGGGCTCAAAAGCAGAYACAATATTCCAGTYGTTCCTTGMTRAATGATGAGCAGAGATAACCAAAGYYRGAYATGRTTTTGCTAGTGGGGTATACTGTCATGCCAGCTTCTGACTCACATCTAACTTGGTGCTCATCAGCACCCCCAAGCCCTTTTCCGTTGTAATCCTCCCCACATAGATGGCACAGCCCCAGCCCCACCTGTTCTGTTAAAGGCATGGTAAAAGATATGCACAGCTCTCTCCTCATCCACAGATGGAATCACCTCACCATAGAAGGAAAGCAGATTAGGGTGGGCATAATTTCCTCTTGGTAAATTCACAGTGGCTGCTCCCAGTCACCTTGTCTTTCATGTGCCTGGAACTTGTATGTATCTGGTTTATTTAAATGAATGGGAACTCAGTCCTACTCTATAGTAGGTAGTATCTCTTGCCTTCAAACTTTCCTACTAAGCACAGACCTTGATAGCAAAAGCTCAGGCAAAAACTTTCCTTTCTACTTGGGCTCTTTGTTGGATTTTGCATCAGGCCAATGTCTGCCTTGGTGCTCTTTCCAATGTATCTCCAGAAGCCCTTCTTACCGCCCTCACATTCTTCACCAGTTTGAATACTAGATGAGCTATGACTTTTCCATAATCCATACTGCCTACCCAGTAAATGCTTCTACATTCCTCCAGAGGTAGCCCATCCTCACTTTCACTTTTTCCTTGCACTTCTTTTGTTCTTCTTAAGGGCACACAGGAGGTCCCTTTTCAGTCCAGCTGACCTCTTTCCATGTCTCCTTTTTTTTCTTGCACACTGAAGTGAACAACTTACTTTGCAGGAAAATCTCCCTTGCCCTGTGATCTCATTTTATATTGGCAATACTTCAGCTACTGCAGTTAATGTAATTTTGGAAGGCTAAAGAATTTGACTAGGAAAAGAACATTTTGCTGCTATGTGTTACAGCTCCACTAGATGGCTGATGGATTAGGATTGTAAAGTCTTTCATAGAATTAATTAGCCTAAAATTGCTTGCAAGGGAAAGATCTGAAATTCTCTGCTTGAAGGGTTAGATAGCACCTCTGAGAGAAAGGGTCTGCTTCAAAAGGCCCACTCTGAGTGAGAAGAAACAGCCTTCCTGCTGCAGCTACACAAGYTGCAGACAATGGAGTGAAACACAAATCATCTACATCCAGTATTTCAAACACAGCTTTCACTGCAATCTATTGCGCAGCCAAGAATGAGTTATGAAATCACATTGCCTATTTTCATCAAAATTATGAAATAACTTGGGGAAATATTCTGCTAGCTGCAGTAACTAGTTCATCTTTTTCTGTCTCACCGATACTTAAATTCTAGTTTGRTAGCAAAACTACTGCATTCGAGTGAGTTCAATGACATATATATTTAGCCTCCTCTTTCACAACAAGCTTTTAGAGAGGATAGTTGTAAAGAATGGATTTATATGAATTGAGAGCYGAGAAATTACTGAGCAATTCATCTCTTGGGACCACTCACTTTGACTCAATCTATTCAGTCATCTCTGCCGATGGGAGAACAGGGCAGAGCATGGGTCAGTGTTTCATTGTTSCAACACTAGCACCCWCCAAGYKGAGGATGGCATTCCAGGGCAYAAAGGARCAGAATTTTAGTGGAAATGAGGAGGTTAAGCTCAGAAGCTATCTGAGAGGACAAAAACCAGAACAGAACAACTTCTTCCATAAAACTTTACCTCTAACCAAAACAGAGAAGAGTGAATTAGGCTACAGCATCATCATCAAGAAGAGCAATTAAAAGCAATTATATAACATTCATTAAATAAAAAAATAAATTGACATCAGATAAATACACTGCTTTTGCCTATTAAGATATGTTTTGCACTGTTCAGCTCCAATAATGCAGTGATTTATAGGAGTGCTTAGTTTTTTACATATGCATGGTTCCACCGAAATTAGTGCTATTACAGGCAGGAAGTTACCTAATTTGAAATAACAGCACTACACAGAACGCCTTAAGTTACTAGTTCATGCACACTTTTGCAGGCTGGAAATCTACAGCAGCATTTTAGCACTTGCTCAGAGCCAGCTAATACTCATGCAATAAAAACGTTATGTATGAACACATACAGGAAGGGCAACTCATGGTGCGAAACCAAGTACTGACAAAGCAGGAAAATTCAGGCTTATTCAATGTAATGTTCCTCCATCACAACGATGTCCACTAATACTCTTGCAAGTCAAATGAAATATGAAAGATTTAAAATGAAAGATAGAAATATACAATGCTTACTTGTGTTTTGTCATCTTTAAATCATGGCAAAAATGGCTGAAGAACCTTGCATAGAATAAGTGCATAACTGCATGCTCTTTTCCTCCGATGTACAAATCCACAGGCATCCAGTAGTCTGCTAAGTCAGTATTAAAGGGCCTGAAAAAACACAATTATAGAAAAAATACAATGTTGAAAAGAAAGATTAGTGCTACTAAAGTATCTCATCATCCTTGACTGCACAACACTGTTTACTGAGAGCAATATATGTGTAATAAAACTTTCATTTTGCTATCAAGTCTTCTTAATTTTTTAAGAAGTGAAATGCTTATTATAGACAAAAATTTAATTTTCAGTGAGARGCACATCCACAAAAAGATTATTTTCCTATATTCCAGGCAAGCAATTACCTGAGAAAGAAATGAAAACATTTGACTGCTCTTTAACTGATTTTTTTATTAATACCCTGGYGCCAGCTTCAAATTTTTTAGCATTTATATAGCTTTATATACAAATATATTAGAGTGAAAGACAAACGACATGACCACTCAAAACCAGCTGATTTTTTTAATCGGAGGTTTGCATTGTTGCCATTAGGGGGCAACGATGCAGTTTAAGGCTGCAGTACCCTCTGTACAGGGAGACTGGTCACAGCACTCCAGCTGAAGGATGCTCGATGAAATGAAAGTAAATTCGTCTTTTCCAGCATATTTACTGTCATTGGAGGTCACCTGGATGGTTTCCCAGCATTGCTTACTGCTTCATTACATTTTTCCATGTCTCTTGTAGTGAGAAKACAAAACACCATTTGTACAGAAGTTCTTCTCTAAAATACACACCAAGGCCCTGCTCTAACAAGTCTATTTGTTTTGTCAGTCTGTCTGATAACTCCATTCGTAATTTTTGTAATACCAAAACTTTTTTTCCTCACAGATGAGCCCAGAAGCAAATCATGGATCTGGGATTCACGTCTTTGGTGGAACAAATCAAACCTAACTTGTTCATAGGGTTCCAGAATCAAGAGAGTAATTCTCCTGAACTGCAGACCAGTAAAATATGGTTTATGGAAATGAAGGGTTTGCATAGGCATAGCAGTTAAAAGAACTAACRAAATAAACCACATGCAGGCAGCAATTTAGTGCAGAAGTCCCTATAAATGTTCTCATTTCAGTATAAAACAGATTAAGCTACACTAAGCAGTTACTTTGACAGTTCGATGTTACATCTGACTATTTCTTCTWCAACTTCTGGAAAAGTCCCTCTTGCCCACACACAAAAAATAYTTCAAACTGACATGTAGAGGAAGCAATCTGCCTAACTCAGTGACATTAACAATATATTCATGCTACCACTAGAAAATAATTAAAATTGACATGAAATAAAAGTGTTCACAGAAGATTTTTCTCTAGTTTGACTAAACTAGTGCTGCCAATACAAAAAAAAAAAAAACCATAATCGGCCCAGCAACATTAAGTCACTGAGTACATGGAGTGTGTTCCCAGACATGGCCCTGCACAATAAATAAACAAACACATACCCAAACAGCCCCACATGTGGTATCAATGTTTTAAAATGCAACCTTTCCTTTSTTCCTCAGACTACACAGCAGAGATGTTGCACTAATTCCTCTTTGGAAAAAAAAAAAACAGTGCTATCAAGCAGCACTACTACAGGCAGACTACGAAGCAGAAAAACAGCTAAATAACTACATCTGTCTTCCCACTCTCCATGCTGCACTAGTCCATAGCACATGAAAAATCTCTTTTCATTAATTATGCATGTAGCGAAAGTGCTGACACAGCAGAAAATTGCTGYGATACCGCTTCGCTTGAGGTCTGCGCACAAGGAAATGGAAAGAATCACCAGAATTCACAAGTAGAGAAGTGAAGGTGCCAGGCTTGGCAGCTGGATGTTACATTGGACTATTCCTCTTACCAGTGGAATAGCACTGCATGTGCATACACTGAACCACCAAGTGCATTGCCAGGGAGGGTACACTCCATGCAACTTACCAGTCTCAGAAACATGGCAGGCTGTCATTCCTGATGGCACCACCCACTAAGTACTGTCTTCAGCTCCTCAGCTGAATATTTCCTCTGTGCCTTGCCCCACAATGCCCTTTCATGCAAATTTCTGCTCCTTGTCCTGTAATTCCTGTGCTTACACAGTTGTGTTTACACATCCAGCTCCTCTAGATCTCCTCGCATGGGAGCAACCAAATACCACATTTTTAGACCAACTCCATATATTCTCCTGGTTCTCATTGCAACAGAGTTCATTTTCTTCTGAATAACTGCTACAATGCTGTACTCTGAATTCAGTATGAGAATAATGTCGATAACTCACAGATGTTTCRGTTGTTGGTGAGCAGTGCTTACCCTAAGCCCAGGACTTCTTGGTCTCTCATGTTTTGCCAGAGAGCAGGTGCAAAAGGAGCTGGGAGGAAGCACAGCCAGAAAGGCTGACCCAAAGTGGCCAAAGGGCTATTTCATACCCTAGACTGTCATGCCCAGTATATAAACTGGGGGAGTTGGCTGGGAGATGCCGATTGCTGCCAAGGGATGGGCTGGGCATCAGTCAGCAGATGGTGAGCAATTGTACTGTGCATAACTTGCTTTTCTTGAGTTTCATCTCTCTCTCCCTTCTCTTATTATTATAATTATTATTATCACAATATTTTATTTTGTTTAAATTAGTAAACTGTTCTTATCCAACCCATGATCTTTACTCTTTTTTTCCTCCTCCTGATTGTCCTCTCCAGCCCACAGGGTGTGTGTGGGGAGTGAGAGAGGAGCTGTGTGGTACTTAGATGCCAGCTGGGGTTAAACCACATCCACCCTTTGTTGTACTCAGGCCCAGAGGGCAGGCACATAATGAAGGCAGTGCAGGGGTTTGTACTGCCAGTAGACTGCAAGAGCAGCCAGAAGCTGGAAGCACCAGAGTGTGTAGTCTCTTTGTTCCCTTTTGTTGTGTGTAGCAGCTTGCCCCCAATGGCCCTGTGCCCGCAGCCCTCACCTGTCTGTGTTGTGAGGGTCAGTGTACCTCAGGTAGTACCAGGCGGAATCAACAAATGTATCCATGGTGTCGACTTCTCGCCGYGCTGCTGCCTTGCACCTGAGCAAGAGAGAAGAAGAAAAGTTACTTTTAGATAAATTACAAGCTTGGAAAAAAACCCMAAAAAACACGGACACAGTGGCCACAAAGACATTTAGACTGAAAACTGAACAGTCTGTAGAGYGACATGTTTAGAAAAACTCCAACAACACTAACAGGGCTGACTTCTTCCCTCTCCCTCCCAAAACACAGCAAAAACAAGCCAAAAAGAAGCCTGAACAGCCATTATATCCAGTAATAGCAGAAGATGGCACCACATTGGACAGCCTTCTCAATCCTGGAATTTTTTGAAATTGTCATTTTAAAAGGTACAAAGCACAAGCATATTTGCCATAAAGTTAATGGGTACCGAATATATACCACACTTGTTAGGTACCAGCAAAATCAGCAAAAWGGTCAGGTGGTTGCCTGTCATTGATTGTCTGTACAAAACAGTCTTTGCAAATTCCATTTATTATCTCTAGAAAAAATTAACTTAGTTTAATTTCAGGTTTCACTGAGATCAAATCTCCTCTAGACCTTGTAGCACAATTTTAATTTGTGAGTACAGTAAATTGAKTTTTGCTTGTAATTATATTGGCAGCCCTAAGGAACAGTTTCAAAATAGATTTTAGAAGCTCAGGTTACTTTCTGTTAATTTCTCCTTGAATATTCATTGTTTGTAGGAGCCAATAATCACATTTAATAAACTTCCATTTGTTGTAAATGATCTCTCTTAAAAACCCTTACTATTAAAACAAYGGGATGATTCTAATGTCAATGAAACTTTTTGCAATCTGTGACACACTTGTCCCTAAATGCCACTGATTATATGTAAGAAATATACAGTTTATAATTCTAAGTTTAAATGTACATATATGTATAGTAAGTAYCCACAATAAATGGGGACTAGCTATTTCATATTTTCTAACTGCATATTTAGTCTCTGATCAGACTTGATGACTGAGCTGCAACATGTATCTGCTTGTCTGCCTGAYATTTCAGCTTGGCTTGTCAAGGCAAGTTTACAAGAGCATCACCACTTAACATTTTCCTTCATTCTGTCTCTGTCCCTGGTCYTCCTCTACCTGCAAGCTTTTCTTTTAATGAGAATAATGTAATAMAGGAGTTTTACTTCTAATTGCTTTTTAGTGTAGAATAACCATTTTATGAAATGGTACATATAAGAAAAGACTTGATCAATGTAAAAGAATGGCTTTTCTGTCAAAAGCAAGAATRCTTTACAGTCATTGAACCATAATTACATCTGCTTCATGCCTCTGTGCTCTAAATGGACATGGCTCACTAACGCAGAGCCAGCAGGGGCATCTTTCAKAGTTTATACAATTTATATCAATATTGTGATTACAGGCACAATGCTGTAATCTCATTAGACAATCTTCAGACGACTAACACAATTACCTGGACTTGTATAACAAAGAATAACTTGGGCTTCTCCTACCATTTATGATTGTTAGCATTATTGTCACTCAAATACTCAGACTTTTGTATCTTTCCATCTGGCTTTCCTTATTAATTTTAGATATTAAATGAAACTAATAAAAAAAAAAAAACCTATTGCTGGAGAGAAGAACTAAAGGAAGGGATGATGTAACTTCTCGGAGCAAGGAAAAGCAAGGATGACTATGCACACTAAAGTAATAGCTCAAATGATTTGAAATGGTAGCAGATGTGGATGAGCAATACTGACAACAGCTGTCAAACAGGTGAGAATTAGGAAGACAAATAAAAATGAGAATTAAACAAAAAAAGTTAATTTCAGAAAGCTACCACATTTTAGGCTAAGAAATCCTGAGTGATTTTATTTCTGACTAAACAAAYGCCTTTGATTAATTTTTATGCAGGGCAGCCACAATAACTATCCAGAAACCACAAGCAATTACTATACATCAAAAGTATGTTACTGCCTGGTAAACAACAAAATAATTTTTAACTAAAGTTGTGGGAGAAGCCAAGAGTGCACATACACTTTCAGTCACAACAGGAAAATTAGCAATTAGACCAAAACATTTGGGGATTTTACTAAACCTGTGGATCTCATTCAGTATTGCAAATACACTACTATGTACATTTTCAATASGCACATCTGAGAAGACATTTTCTAYACAGAAACATGGGAATAAACATCTGTTTTACAAAAAAATACATATTATCAACAAAGGTCAAAATACCTGTTTCCAGACAACCATAGAACTCCTAATACTAAAATAAATTTAGGTGTTATGAATCTGCTGCATTTTCAAGTGAGAGCCCTATTGCCATTTACATGTTTGATTTCCCTGCCTGGCAGCCTGATAAYAGACTTCCCATTTGGTCAGTCAGGAGCAGCAATGCACTGCACTGCTGATGAAAACCTTCTCTAGGATGCCTCATGTTCTACCAGCTCCTCCCACAGGAACCTATATGCAAACTTCAGGGAATATCTTAGCAGTCCTCAAGATTACACAACTGATCTTCACATCACATCACATCACATCACATCACATCACTCACTACTTAATTTAGGCTTTTTATTTCTTAAACAGATGGACCACAAACAATAAGGATTACAGTGTTGACAAGATGCATTTACTTTCTATTTCCTTCAAATCTGAATTATATGCTAACTGCAATGCACAGTGAATGTAATTCTTCATTATGAAGATTTATGTAGCTGAGGGAACACTTTACTGTTGGACTACTGCAAGAAAATGAACACAATATTAATTTCCTTAACAAGAGGACTAATTCAGTAATCATTGTAAGTTTTATATGAACTGGTAACGAAAGATAATTAAAATAAGTGCAAATGTAGTAGTAGTAAATGAAGTGAGAACTACAGTTCAGAAAAGGGAAACAGGGAGCGAATCATTCTGCTTTTCCTTTTTTTTTCCTCTAACTTAAAACCAGTGAATTTTGTTTCACTTGTTTACGAAAAAATAGCAGTGGACATTGAGTGTTGCAAAAAAAGGAGTTTATTGAGTGTATAAGAAAAAAATCACTGTGCTGGGTCAAACTAAACATCATTCTCAGAGCAGTTAGTTGCCAGCTCTTTGGGAAAGAGCACAAGAAACAGGCAGCTGCAAAGTGATCTCTCCCAGACTGCAGCAAATTAAGCACTGACTTACCTCGGACAGGAACAGTTCACCCATTCTGGGGCGCTTTCCAGGGGTGAGGCTCCCTTTCCTGTGAACGTGGTTACATTGGGCAACACCACAGGTAAATCTTCATAAGGCACAGGAACRGTGCCACACGTCTGGCAGTGAATGATTGGAATGGGTGTTCCCCAGTACCGCTGTCGAGATATTAACCAGTCTCTCAATTTGTCACTTGTTAGGTCTCCACCTATTCTTTTATTTTTGGCCTGCTGAGTAATAGCTTTTAAAGCCTCCTGCCGAGTCATACCGGTGATCTGATTGAAAAAAACAAGAAATGACAATTTTATTTGCTGTCAGTGGAAGTGCAAGAACAAACAAAACCAGTCAATTTTCTGAGAMAAAAAAAAATTCCCTCTTCCCACTGCTTAACATCCTGCTGTCCAAAAAACTATTCACATACCAGCTGCTCATTTGAACCTTCTTGCTTAAAGCATAATGTTCTTCGTGGTCTGAATAGAAAAAAGCTGAAAGAGTCTTGTACACCCCTTCAGCCTTTATTGGCAGATATTTGCATTTATTGCTGATATCTTCATMAGTTGCTGTATGCCAAAATTTTCAGAATTCTATCATGAACATGAGGTAGAAACTGAGGAAATGCAAATGTTAAAACAGCTTTCCTTCTCCTGTGCTTATTTCAGGTTTTTCTGTTCTTGCTTTCACATACATCTTAACCACTTAGACCCTACCTGGGATGCAATGTGTCTATTATCAAAACACRTATTTTCAAGAGCTATATCTAAAGATAAGATTTCTATGTCACTTGAGACATGCATGTTAACACAAAGGCTGATACAAYATTTCAATTAATTTTTGAAGAAGGACTAGTATGTTTACGTTTAGCTTAAAAATCTATTAAGATTATGAAATAAGAATCAACTTTTAACATAGGTTAAATTATTCAGTTTCCATTACAGAACTGAGACCAACACACAGGAAAGTATAACCTTCCTCTCATGTACAAAAGGAAAAGAAATATTTTATTGCTACAGCAGAGCCAACATATTTCATCATGAAATTATTCCCAGAAATTTGATTGTGTAAGCTTAGCTTGATTAAAAAAATAATCCCTTTAATTATACAAAGTATTCGGCACTCTTGAGAAAACAGATTTAGTTTGCAGTTACTGCAAGTTGGAAAGAACTCCACACTTGTATACCCACMTCTGCAGAATTAATGACCTTCTCCAAACCATTTGGCAATGTCTCAATGACTTCAGTGAAAGAAATGCCCAGTTTCTCAGCTACTGCAGCATCTTCTGCACAAGTACTAGGAATTCCTAGAAGGGATGAAAAAACATTTCATGACACTCTCTTTTTAATAATTTACGTTATTATAAACAACAAAGGAATTCAAGAAAAATATTTGAGAACAGTAAAAATGTTTTCGTATTCTTCAAGCAGTGAAATTCAAACAACAATTATTACAAATACATTTCTCGGTTCCTCTGTAATTCAAATGTTCATAAATGTGTTGTCCTTCTTTCAGAAAAATTTRAAAATCTGATGGTTCTGAAAAAACTAAAGCTGGAAAATTTGGATAGAATTATAGAATTTTTCAATACAGCTCTATTATGTAAATATAATACATTTAAACAATACAAATGCTAATTCTATTTGCTAATATGATAATCAAAGACTAAACAAAGAGCAGAGTCCTCCTGTTTCAATATTAAATTTATCTCTTTTTAATTCCATATTAAATGTACCATAATGCAACAGTCTCAAACATTACTATCCCTTTAACTTAYTGTGAAAGTTATGACTTGTTTATAAACTCAGGGAAATTATTCAAATAATACCAGTTTGCTATTCAGACTAACTGGTGAGAACACTTCCTACAGCTATTCAGATGAGTTCAGAAGTCACCGTATTTAAGGCCCCCAATGCTATCTTTCCCTCCATATTTTATTATTTGGGACAGTCATGCATTTTAGTTCTGCTCTGGAGGGTTACCTTTCACACTGAGTTAAATTTACTAGCTTTATTTTCACATGTATTCTGAAGTAATATTAAGATCCAACAGACATATTAGTTCCACAGAGATACATCTTCCTGCATATTTTTTTTTTCTTTCAATGATAATTTAATTAATAACTTGAACAATCTTGCACAATTGCTGTCAATTCAAAAGGCAAAGAAACTTAYTTCAACAACACAATGCCAGCATTAAATTGGTAAAAACTACACACAAAAGCTCTCAAAATATTTGCAAAGCGTACTAGAATTACTAACAAACTACTTCACTCAAAACCATCTTAACAATTGTCTTAGTTCAGGCAGTGAAATGTCTGCTATACACTAGCTCTGCCAATATATGGGAGTTTGGAAGCAGATTACTAAAATCAAACAAAACTCCCCTGTGACAAGTTACTCCTTAACTAGAAAACCACAAAATTGCTATTTTATCTTTCCAGCAGATGTACACTCTTGCCATTTCAAGGCTCTCTTATAGAAGATTGTTTGTATCTTAATTTGTCAGAGAGCTGTGCAGCTTGCAACAGGTGACTTTACAATATGGTCTACAAATGGAAAAAAGCGGGTCCCACTTTTTGGTCTGCCTCCTTTTGAARAGATGATGCTATTAATGTACACTGGCAAAGCTCAACAGCTGGCACCCACAGCTTCCCATGGAGAGCTGGGCTGTTTCCAACAGACATAAGGCCAAAGTATGTGCCAGCAAACTGGAGGGTTTTAAGGAAAAATAAGATTAGGTATCTTAATTATTTGGCTTCTCCTATATAAGGAAAGACTTTGTTTTCTCAAAAACAGATTCACATCTAAAGTGCAAGATGCAGGCATATTATAAGCAAGGTATGCAGCTCAAGTGGATAATTTCCCTTAGCCCTGTGAGGGTCATCCATGACATTTTTGCACAGTTAGCTGTTTTCATTCAGTCCAGTTGGGCAAGAATAGCCAATATTGGCAGTAGTGAAAGGAGGAGCCCCAGGAACGAAGTGTCAGCAACAGGGAGGCAACAGCAGAAGTTAAAGGATAAGGAAGGTASTGGAAAAAGGGAAGAAGACATAACTATTTCCCATTAGGACTGGCCCAGAACATTGACATCTTAATGAGAGACCATGGCAAAGCAAGTATAAACAAAAAGCTTGGTGGTGCAGATCAAAACAGATACTGTTTTAAAAACTTAGTACAATTGCTAATTTTACTTACTAGGATAATCATATTATCTAAGAGTTTGTACTCCCAACTTGGGGTTGGGAGTTCCCCCCCAAGTTCTGTTTCGATGAAGGATGGTGAGAGACAGACAAACACAYGTGTTGTAGTAACCAATTTTCTTAAGATAAGCAGATCCTCAYGTTTAGCTCATTAAATGCACTGATTTTACAATATTTCAATTTAGAATTATCATCCTTCCCCCAGATATATTCCAAATAGCTACTTTTCCCTTTCTTCTTCCCTATCAAAGAACAGAATTTCAAAGTCCAGGAGAGAGAGCCTCTGTGTTCAAATATTTACCACAACAATATCTTGTGCTCCAACGCAGCAACAGAAAACCATACTATTCCAGTTACATATTTAATGTCACATACCTATTTTAGTATCAAGAAAATTATCAAAATCGTTCTTTGCTGAGATGACTACAGGAATCTCCTGATTGGTAAGCAAATTCACAGCTGTCACTGAAGTAAGTGAGTCTGAAAACAAATGTAATGATATGGGGTAAGTAAAATGTGACAGAAAATATGTATCACATACCATTACAATGCAGTATATTTTAAACTTACATGAATTTTAAATAACAATTTCTTTAAAGAAGAATGAAAATAAAAAACCTATTCACATATCTAAAAAGCTCTGATGTATTAAATGGCTCAGTAAGTCAGACTGATGAATTTTGATTATTAGAAAACATAACAAGCACCTGAATAAAAACAGAGTAAGATTTGGATTATAACAAAAAATTGAGTCTTTGATCAAAAATACAGCCTGCTGCAAAAATTGTATGAATTGGCTTTAGTAAGCCCTGATTTATATACTAGCATACAATGCTACAAAATCCCACAAAAAATCAGATGAAACTGCAGGGGAGCATATATCCTTATGATTTAATTACTTACAGAAGAACTACAAAGTATGTGAAATATTGACCTGTGTTAAAAAYCACCTAAGTAACCTACTGATTTCCAAACAGGACATTCATATTCATATTACAGATGAGGAACCTAATGTCCACAAGGATGGGGAGACAGAAGAGTATCAAGGGTGAGAAYTAATAAACTGAAATTGATTTACAATGTGCAGATTGGGTGACTCAGCAAGAAGCAAACCAATTCTGAACACTCCAAATTTTGAGGATTCAAACTCCAGATCTCTGGACCAATTTCTAACTTTTTCAGTGCTTTTGAGTTGAYGATAGTTACAATATCTACGAGCTACTATCTAAGGGCTGCTAAGAGCTTTCTTTCACCTTTCTTCATGGCTAAGCTGAGGGAAGTCTTATGCTTGTGTTGCAATGCATAAAATCTGCTTGAAGTAAAGTACCAGCAATTTTGAGAACAGGGCTGTTACATCCATCACGCTTCTTAACAGAGATGATGCATTTATTTGTTTCTGATTACTACTTTTCCAAATTTAAGATGTCTGAGGTATTCATATTATAAAGAAAATTTCCACGTCCAAGCCATTGCACACAGCTTTMCTCTGTTTAAAAAAAAAGACACTAAACAAAAAGCATCATGAGCAGGACACTGAGTGGGTAGGACACTGCTTTTAAAAATAACTTCTCTCTTCCACCCAGCAATAATTTTCATTTTGTGCTGGAACCTAACTCCAGTTTATGAAGGTGCTCTTTCCTGTGCTCTTTTGCTCACATCTTTATCATCATAACCAGAGTATTACARTGAGATAATGAACAAAGTAATGGTCAAATCCTTATCTCAGAYATCTCCTGCTGTCAAAACTATTAGACTTACCAGATACTAAATGAAAATACATTTTTCTGTGCAAAAACTTTTGAATATTTGACAAATGGTTGTTCCATCTATTTAAATAATAGCCTAAAATACAGACCTGTACTTCAAGACTAAAAGTATTAGAATTTTCAGTTACTTTGCTATATAACAGGGTTTTTTCCTCTCCTAGAAAACATAAAAACATACCCTTCTAACTATTTAAATGAGAACACAGTGAAGAAAGAGAGTTACAAGACCATGTCCATTGAAAAGAAAACAATTACACTTTAATTAAATTAAAATTTCAATGTAACTGAGGATTTTTTTAAAAAAATCTTGGTTAATGGGAAAATACAAAWCTACAAAAGGCCATCCAAAACTTCTTTTTATTTAAATGCCATCAGTGGCCTTTCATATGTAAAATGCCAATCTCAGCTAATTTCAACTGAAGAATGCATGTAGTATATTCACAAGTAGCAGGAGTACACAATAGCAGAGTTATGATTCTGGAATTGTGCCTCTTTTTTGAGAACTTCTGTCGTCATTATTTCAACTGAGAGTTTCTTAATTTAACTCAACCAAAAGATTTAAGCTTATTGTTAGCAGACACATAAAAAAGCTCTTACAAGTATTTCCACTTACAAAACCAATGTAAAAATATACCGTTGTCCTTATTAAAAGCAAATTTTTCACTTTTGTGGCTTGGCTTAAAGCACAAGATCCAACAAAGATASAGGCATGCGCATAGATGTGTGTTTGTGCAGTTTGATTTGGTTCAACTGCAAGAACTGCAAATCTGTTCTCCAAAACTCTCCAAGCTTTGCTCACCTCGGAGACAAGGGCTCTACAAACTCCACACAGTGAGGCTCTACTTTTTTTTTCTCCTAGCAATCAAACTTCTTTAAGGTTATAGAAATGAAGCTCTGCAAAAAGCAGGTGCTGTACAACCAGCACAATTTCCCACAAGATGCTGTTGACATCAGATGTTATACAGACAATGAAGCCTCATCTTTACCAGSGGAAAAGAAAATACTGAACACAAGCCTGAAGTAGAAACAAAAATTACTGTGTTTACTCTTGTAATTTTCCAAACAACAAAAAAATACTAGACCATGGATTCTGAATCCAAGCAGAACTGGTGGTAGGAGCCTTCAGGAAAGCAGATAACAACAACTAACGATTTATCAGTTGACTGTGCAAGTCATGAGCTGCTATAGGGATACTCTGAAGTCCCATTACAGTCTTGAATTAACTAAGGATTACATAGTAGAGTATWATTTTACTATCAGTGATCCACTTTGCTATGTATTAGTGTTCTATTGAGCTCTTAATATTCCTTGTGACAGGAAGAAATAATTGTTTTCATGCAAGAATTAGTTCTGCTGTCTTTATKCTAATTACTGTATATACAAATTACCATATAGACTTGAGATTTTCCAATGCATCGACAGAGTCAAATTTGGACTATTCATTTCTGGTACATGAGCAAACAAGGATCTGTTCCATTGCTTTTATATACTATGAAGTGCTACAACTATTATTAAAAGAATTCCATCATAGCTGCTCTCACCACATCTGAAGCCAGGACAGGCTGATGTGACACTGTGTGACATATAGGAAGAATCAAAGGCCTGCTCCCTCTCAACAGGAACAGCTCCTGCTCAGATTGATACATATTCTCCAAAGATCATTCTCTGTAATTGCTGCTCTTCTACAACAAAATGCAGTATGAGAAAAATACCACCTTTCCCTGGGATGAGCTCCCTCTGAAAGATTTCCTTGAGACTGCTATTCCCATGCAGCAGTCTGTGAGTTGGTAAGATATATAAATGGGAAGCTCCATAAATGGCTTCAGGTGTATAGGTGTAAGCTGCTACCTTCTCTTCCGTTACTTTGCCATTAACCTGAAAAAGAGCAGAAAAGAATTCCCACTGGAATTGCAGTGGTTATAGATTTCCCTTCCTTTTTATACAGCTAATGARTCTACATCACCCTGCACAAATACACAGTTCCAAATATCAAAGCTGGACATATTCTCACTATAGAAACTTTCCAGAATCAAACCTTGACACAATTTACTTTTTGGCCTTGAGAAAGTTGCTTTACACTCTTGCCTYAGTTTATCCAAATATATMTATWAAAAAYATAATTCTAATTYCATATAAAATACTGCACTGTGCTACTGAGATAGACACAATCCCTGGCTAAGGAACCTGGAATCCTTCTATTCACTTTTAATAAGCATGCCTTATTTCCAAGAAACTGAAATGAGATGTTGCCACTGAAATCTAAAGAGAATTTAGGATTTTCTCAGCTATCATACGACTTTACACCATGCTTCTCTGATAAAGTAAATGCTGCAACTTATGCAGAGAAGTAAAATAATAAAAGGCAGCACAACAAACAACTGGATATAAAATGTAAATAATAAACTCCAAAGACTTTATGAATTACCACCTGGAATTATCAACGTGGTTTATATCTTACATCAACTAACTGTGGAATGTATGGAGGTCTTAGAAGGAGATTTTTCTATTGATGTAAATTTTCAGAAAAAATTGATAAAACCAACTTTAATTAAAAAATGCATCTTTTAGCAGGATGCAGAAAGGAGGTATTTAGAGGTTTAATTTGTCTCAATCTGAAGTTCCCAAAAATTCAGTACTTTAAAATAAGAAGTCACTTTTAGAATGTTAGACCAGAGTAAATAAGCACAATAAAGCTTTGAAGTACAAGGGCTAAAATTCGATCAGGGTGTCTGAAAASCTCTTCTGTCACTACCATATTCATGGAGCCTTGTCCTCCTTGTTCTCTTGAGAAAAAAAGGGAAAATCTGAGGTTCTTCTATAGATAATGATGATTTTCTTCAGGTTTCCTTTTCCTTCCTCTCCTTTCTTTCTATCCAGACTTCTTTGTAGCTCCATCACTACCTAATGGTGTGGGTTCCATTATTTTAATTACGGTTCATAGTAAATGAAATAATGGACAACTGTAAACAAAGCAGCTTGCCTGAGGTCAGCTGKGGTCTGACAGAGAAGCCACCATGCAGAGAAAAGCAAAAGCCCAACCAGATCCCAACTGACATGTGCAGTGCCACTTGATAGTRCACTTGGCATAAATGTCCTGGCTTTTAGGGAAGCTTATTAGCTGGCACGTATTTTGGCATAAATATACACAGCCAGTTTGCATCTATTTGAACACACAAACCCTTTCCTAACGAGGGTAGCAGGGAATATCTCTTAAACCCACAAAGTGGTGTTCTGCAAGAACCAGTGCTGGGCATGAATATAATAATAATAACAATAATCTTTAGGAGGTTTGAAGCTTTTAAGATCTGAAAATCCATTCCATTCACACATTTCAGGGATTGCAGTTAGCCCAACCAAGAGAGCAGCAACTGAAATTTCTGACTTACCTTTAGCAAGAAGTCAAGAGAGCATCCAACACAGTCACCTATCCAATTTGCTTGCATTTCTTTAATACCATACCACTCAGGGAGATCAGATAAAGCATCAAACATAGCCTTAAGCAATAAAAGAAAGAATTAGGACATTCAGTTTTTGTAAGCATACAAACTAATACTATAGGTTTAATTATAATTAACAGCAAAATAGTAAGGTGSTGGTAAAAACATTGGAAGAGGTGTTTTTACACTGCTGCTGCCTCAAACTCAYCTCTTTGAGAATAGAACTAACATGGTGCAAGCCAGCAGTATGTCACTGCCAACAGAGATCYTGTTGTTATTAAAAGTGGCCTTTCTTTCGAATGGACCTTAAGATACAGAACAAAACACTTAGATGAAAACAAACACAGAAAATATTCCCAGTGGGTGTAACTTCTGGGAAGTGTAGGTGACSTAYTGAGCTGAACAAGAWGTAAGAGATGTGCTTGCAGATATGAARCCTACATTTGGATTAGTTGCTTTAGACAATARCCTGGAGATGGCAGTCTGACAAAAGGTGTTAACTTGTCCTAAAATTTTCAAGCTCTGACTTAAAATAGCATAATTGTTTCTAGCTGCCTATCTATTTTGTCATATTTCATATTGAAATTTAATCAAGCACAACAGGCTGTAAAGTTGATTGGGATCTTTASGTTGCATCATCCTGTAAAAACAACACTAATCATAATAACAAAGGTTCATATTAAACTCAAAACATATATAATAATAATTATTATAAGCAACCAGCAATGAAGCTGGGTCTAGAGGAGTCAAGGGTCTAGATCAAGTCTTATGAGGAGTGGCTGATGCAGCTGGGTATGTTTAGCCTGGAGAAAAGGAGGCTCAGGGGGGACCTTATSACTCTCTACAAGTGCTTGAAAAGAGGCTGTAGAGATGTGGAAGTYAGTCTCTTCTCTCAGGTAACAAATGACAGGACCAGAGCAAAGGGTCTCAAGTTGCACCACGGGAGGTTTAGGTTGGATATTAGGAAAAATTTCATCATGGAAAGGGTTGTCAAACATAGGGATAGGCTGTCCAGGGAAGTGGTTGAGTCGTCATCTCTGCAGGTATTTAAAAGACCCACAGATGTGGTGCTTAGGGACCAGGTTTACTGTTGAATTGCCAGTGCCAGGTTAACAGTTGGATTTGAGGATCTCAAAGGCTTTTTCCAACCTAAATGGTTCTATATTATGCAGCAGGGAAGAAATTAGGTGTTGTATCCTTAACTAGCCGTAATATTCAACAGCCAACTTGTAACTTCTATGTTTGCACTCAACAAGAGAATATACCTATATTTTTACGTGCTTTCTGATGTATGGAATGGAAGCAGAATATTCCATTCCAAGTCAACTAGTATTTCTCTAAACAATTCAAACAATATTATTTTAATAAATTACATCTGTAACAATGTAAAGAAGCAGACAAATGGATGGATAACTTAATCTCATTTTTCACTTAGTAACACTTCACATTTTTGTTATGAATACTGTGACTGTCCACAGTCTTTACTTTGGCAGAAGTACAGCCAGAGGCATGAGTCACTTGGACAGATGGTGAATATGCTGAACAATTACAGTTAAAATCTAAGAATAAGGCAACATGTTGAATAATTTCTCCTTCAGCTGTGACTCCCAACATCAAATATGCGAGCTCTTTATTATCTCAGTAATTGCTAGCAACCTGCAAGGATGGACAGTAGCTACTATGTGCTGCTCAAACTAAACAGTAGGTAGTTGGATAATTAGTGAATGTACAATTAATTCTTCTACAAGGATGTGTTTCAAGTTGTGTTTTAATGACCTTCTTAAATTATTTCAAAGTGAGATGAATAGAAGTTACTATTAGAATTACTTTTTAGTTACTGCTCTGCCATTCAAAACACAACAAAAGATGTCCTATGTAAATCATATTTCACCACCACTTGGGATTATTATTGCTTTCTAAATCTTTAGGAATCAAAACAATTTATTGATCATTTATRAAGAAAAGAATGTTAGGCTTTTGGAGGGGTTTTAATCATACTATATCTTTCATCAGTTTTAAGTCACAATTGCAAGCACACTGTACCATAGAGAATTCCAACTTCTGAGTATTCTCATTAATTGTACTGTTCCAGACAGCTAAGCTTTATCAACCATGATCAATCCATGTACATATATAACTACAAAAGAATAATGAATAATTGGAGATAGAGAGAGATATACACACAATACCTGGATATATTCTTTGTAAGAATTTTATGCATTTTAGAAAGAATGAAATTGTGTCAATACATGCAGAACTGGCTTTTGACATTAGATATCYGTTCTAACGTACATTATGTTTTGCTGGCAGAAGCACCTTAATGTGCATGTGTTCTGCTGAAACTGTACAGTCTGTAACTTCTTGCCTGCAAAGATTCTTAGACCTTTTTCACTGCAGTATTCATACACCAAGATTGTCAATACCAATGTGATAATGATTTTACTCTAATTCATTGGCCTTATTAGAAGCTAAGGGCTACAGTTTTACTTTGCCCAGGTTCTTCTCTTGATAACRCAATTACTTCATGCAACTAAATACAGGAAGAGCCAACTTTACTTCATCTGAATGAAGATAACTAAGCTTAATCTGTATGATGATGCAGCCTAGCAGGGTTTGCAAACATAAACCCCTTATAACTGAATTCATACATAAACAGTTTCGTATGATACAAAACAAAAACCCCAAGCAAACAAAACAATTCCAAAAATTTTCAAAATAGAATTATGGCTCTAAGTTCTTTGTACTCAGCACACTCCTTTGGTTCCTTGTCAAGGCTATGAATAGCAGGTGAAGCAGAAAATGAACATGCAAACCACAAACAATTTACCTGGTATTACAAAGGCAAATAAATAATATAAGACTATGCACACTGCTAGCGTGTTAGTAAGTGTTTCTGAATGGTAAATTAACACAGGATACTCACTAGCAGGAAAGTAGAGAAACATTAATTCTTACTCAAATGAATGCACTTGCATTCAAAATCTGTTTGTGCAAACTAGGACCTTTTAAAAAACAGCTTAGGGAGAACCCTTTAAAAAACCTTTCAATTTTCAAATCCAATTGCACTACACCCTGCAAAATACAAGGCCACAAATACATGTTAGAACAATTATTAATGTAAAAAAAATACACGTAGGCTGTTCGGGTGTATAAAACTCTTGACCAATGCTAGCATAAAAATTCCTGAATATTTTAAGATTTTAACTTAGYATTTTGAAAGTTAAATATTAACTCCACTGAATTTTGCTTTTGTGTTCTTTTTTAAAAATCACTGCCACTACTGTCTGGTAGAACATCTTCTGAATCATTAAAGTAGTCCCATGAATTCTGCCTTTTCTTTTTTTTTTTTTTTTTTTGTTTGCAATTTGCCAACTATGGCAGTGTTTAAGGCCAGGTTGGATGGGGCCTGGAGCAATCTGATCTGGTGGGAGGCATCCCTGCCCATGGCAAAGGGGTTTGGGACTAAATGATCTTTAAGGTCCATTGCAACCCCTTAACATTCCACGATTCTATAATTACTGATACAATTCTTTAAACAAAAATCTGATCCTTAAAAATGTGTATATAACTTCTAGTTATTTCTGCCACAAATTTGTTAACTAGATTTGTTGATATAGAAAAAAAAAAATCAGCAAGAAGACTCCCAGCCCACAGGCAAATAAACAAAAGTAAAACCAAGTTGGATTCTGCAGGGGACAAGAACAGCAGCATTACTATCTAGTAAGCAGAAAGTGATAAGCTTATCAAATAAACTCAAATTTCAAATGTCTGATGATGATTTAATAGTGAGAAATTTGGAAACATYAGGTAGCAGAGTCTTTCTGCTTTCATTTTTCATTATTCAGGAAGAGACAAGAAAACTTCAAATGCAAACATCTAATTACAGGAGAAATTACTCCCATCTTAATTAAACAAGTCAAAGAATTGCATGACTGTATTTTGGCAGTCTTTCAAATCTAAAGATAGACAGACTCAGGAAAAAGTTTAAGAAATTAAAGTTGTGTTCAGGGATGAGAAYGCCTTCAAGACTCTTACACCTGAAGAAGCTGGAGATTGAGGATAAACCAGTATTTCACAAGACTTCTTTACTCTTTCAGAACATAGGGAAAATTCTGGCACAGCCAGAAGATGAAAGTGAACTATCTCAGATGATCAGAGAGTAACATAATCAAGATGGGTTTGCTGAAAATTCATCACAGACAATGATGACCAAGCTAGGAACTAGAAGTAACACATTGTATGTAGAAAACTGGTCTCACATTCCTTGCTGTTTAGTCTGCTGAAGTTTATGACAGAAACAGAACTTCAGTTAAGAAATCTTCAGGCAAAAAAGATCCAGAAAATCAAAGAACATAAGTGCTTTATAATTTCCCAAGACCATCTCAACTCCAAAAGTCCCTCTGCTTGTACTTCAAAGATTCTGCTGAGCCCCTATAAAGTTCAGTCTCTGGCTTCATGAACTAAAATTTTTAGTAGATCAATTTTTAGTGGATCAATATTTTTAATAAATCAAATTTTTATAGATCAATTTCACACTTAGTGAGTGTAATTTAGCTCCTCTATGATAGTAAATAAATAAAGTGAAAAGTCTGAATACATGCTATAAAGCCAAATGTATACTCTTTTTTCAATGAAGACACTTCAATGAAATTTGACACATCTGCAAGGTAACAAGACTAAAATAAAAAAGTTGGCAAAAGGTTGTATTTTAGAAGAATTAAATTAATTAGCAAAATAAAATTGCATTCTACTAAGTTACAATTAAATTAAAAAGGTTTGCTTCTGGGGAAGAGTCAAATAAATATGCAAGCTGTTTGGATTAAAATGAAATTCTTCACTTTATTTGATCAAATTCCCAAAAGAGCAATSAAACATAAACTCAAGATTACACAAAATCATTTAATACAATTTCATATATTAACTAAAGTATAAGAGATTAAAGCTAGGCTGCCCACTGTTTTATTTTGCACTCCATTGCACAGTTCCAACTGTGATTATGTGGTACAGCTTCTGCTGGTATTTAATATGTTCTTGTTTTATTATTTTTTCCCTTCAGT